CAGCACACGGTGCGATCGCGCGACCCTGCCCGTGAGCAATCTCTCAACTTATCTCTGGAAACCGTACTCGCGGACGGTTTGATGAGTTTTCTCCCAGTATCCCGTTTCTAGGTTATTGCATGAACCGTGGTCGAGTTAACATTCCTTTTGGACGTACGACATGGCGGAAGGCGCACAGACTCGGCAGAGTACGGGCATAAAATTATCAAAAAGCCATATTATAAAAAGCATCGAAGCAGTCAAAGCACTGACGAATGATCAGCGAAAGAGTAAAAATGCCTTATTTGAAGACGAGAGTGACGCGATTCTTCTGCAGGTGACCTGTATCAAAATTCCAAAAACACCCACGCGGCAGTTGAGGATGTACGTAAGTTCGAAATTTGCTATCTGCGTGGTCTCTCATCAATTTAAAAATAATGTTCAATGATTAGCTCCTACAGAGTTAACTGATGTATTTTACATGATTTCATCATATGGAATATTGCCTGTGATATAGTCATATCTAAACATCTATAAATTTCAAATGATTATATTATTAATAACCAATGGATCCTTATGAAAGGCTGTGATTAAAATTTCTCTATGATACGATGCGATCGAAAGAAATACGTAGATATGTACCATGCAGTAGTATTTACAATTACAGTTTTTTTTGTTCAAGGCTGTTACCAAACTCCATTGTCTCAGCTACAGACGATGTGGCACTCTTTGTACCAGATCTACAACGAGGTCGAAGAAAAGACTATGAACCGACGGTTGTTCACTATCAGACTTTACTTAAAAAGTGTGGATGCACTAGAATAAAGGATGTTATACCCATGAATCGGGTAAGGAATGAGTTCGATCAGTACGAGTTAAAAAGAAAACTCTTAGGAAGCTACGATTTCTTTTTGATCGATGGAAAAATAGCTGGCCATGTGTCGCATATGCTTGGAAAACATTTTTGGAAGAAACGCAAATTACCTACACCTGTTAAAATGCAAAGTAAAGACCTAAAATTAGAAATTGACATTGCTCTCCAAAAGACTTCCATGCAGCTTCATTCACTGGGTAATAGTCATGTCGTTCAAATTGGTCACACTGCAATGATGGATGAACGAATTCGTGATAATGTTATTGCCACGTGTAAACAACTAGCCAAATACTATCCTGGTGGATGGAAAAATATACGATCCATACATATTAAAACCCCAAAAAGTTTGGCTGTGCCCATTTACTTTACTACCAGTGAGTTCCTTCATTATACACAAAGAATCTTAGGTCAATAATGCAGTTGTAATTTCATGTTCATTTTTTTTTCCAGGATGCAAAAATTTGGTGAAAGTGCCAGTTGTAGAACCAAGACGACCGAAAGCATATGAAACGGTTGAAGGTGAATTGACGACATTGTCTAGCAATGCTAAAGTGGCTCTTACACCAGAAGGAGACATCAGAGTTTATAAACGAATTAAGAAAAAATTCTATCGAAAGAAAGACTAACTCTTACACGATGCTCTGCATCATTTACCTAGATGGTATTATTCCATGGGTTATTTATAATTTCTTAATTGTCATCTTTAATTTTTTTGTAACTAAAATTTGTAAGAACCTATATTTGTTTTACTTTAATCCTCTTCAATTATCCATAAGCGATGTTTTATCCTTAACTATACAAGTATTAGATTGTTAATTATTCTAGTAAAGACACATCTTTTAAACCCTCAAACTTAAATTAAATGACATATTTTTAGCTTTCTAATATCAGTATAAAATAGTCTGAGCTCTCTTAGATATGCTTTGATAAGCATTAGTTGGAGTAGATGGTTGAACGCTGGAAGTACCATTAACAACCTGAGTAGATCCACCAGATCCTGTGGAATGTGTGACAACTTCGATATGCTGAAAATTTAAAAGTCTCTGGACGTCTTTATCGTTCCTCATCTTTGTATTGGGTAGTTTCCTAATTTTAACAATGTGACCAATATCGATGTCCAGTTCTTCACAACACACTTGTTTCAGGCCATCGAATGTAAGATTATTCCTTGGTAATTCAACTTCGATAAAATCTGGATCACTTGTCTCGGCGATACGAATTTTCAGCACCAACACTATGGAAACACATATACATTGTCACATCGCTCAATATATAAAATGGTATTTCTTTGATACCTTCATCATTTGTGTTTGTAGAAACCAAAGACGACGAAGTTTCATTTCTCATGTTAGAATCTCCCGAATCGTAATGTACATTGAAACATAATTTTGGATCGCTTGCAATGGGATATCCTGGCTCTAAATCTTTCGATCGTCGAAGAGGTTGCATGTCCGATGCAAGCAATGATAAAACTCCTGTACTATTGCAAACCGCCACGGCATCCTCTCCTCTGTTAGACTTTATATTCTTGTCTGCTCCATGTCTCAGTAAAAGAGCAGCAACTCTGTAATGACCTCTTTTGGATGCCCAATGCAGTGGTGTCCTTAAAAAGAAATCAAAGAACTGATAATAGTGACGATAAACGCCTTTCCAGAAGGGAGATACTTAAGATGTAAGTTTTCTATGGCTAACAGTTTCAGACGTATACTTTATCACTGTAAAGTTTCATCGATTGAGTTGTTTAAATTTCATAACTTCTTTTGACAATTGACAATGCAAAACCCTAGTTTTCAGACAGTTCTCATCGAAGTTTTAGTTCCTAAATTACCATCCATTTATCGATTGCCGCGCATTGACATCCACGCCAGCTTTCAAAAGATCAGAAACAACGTCGTGATCTCCGAGGCTTGCCGCTTCTCGGAGACGGTCCTCTAGTATCTTCTTTGGATCCATTCTTACAGAAATTTAACGTTTCGAAATACAAACACGCGTCCGGGAAGTAGCCATTACTTTTGTATATACATTGACAAGTCGCATTATTAGCTTCTGTGAATTAATTTACACATATCAAATTACCGTTTTCGTCGAGCAATTGATGAAATATCGTTTTACAGAGCGGTAATATTTCCGCACATCACGTAAAATGTAAATTGTGTACACTGGCATTCGTCGATAGTTCCGTCGCGGACTTACTGCCCTCTCCGACCGCGCGGCGTACTAGGGGTAGGAGCAGCGTGGAATTTGAATCGCCAAAGAGGCAGAATGGATTTCCTAAAGAAAATAAATGTTTAGAAACAAAGACAATTAATGAAAATTATTTAAATATTATTGTGTTAAGTTCAGTATACAATAATATTTAAATAATTTTCATTAATTGTCTATGTTTCTAAACATTTATTTTCTTTAGGAAATCCATTCTGCCCCTTGGGCGATTCAAATTCCACGCTGCTCTCGCCTCTAGTACGCCGCGCAGCCGGAGAGAGCATTAGGGGCAGTAGGTCCGGGAGGAAACCATCGATGAATGTAAGTGTACATACATACAGCTGATACATAACTTAGTCCATCCGTCAAGGCCGAAATCCCAAAAAAGATAAAGATAAAGATAACTTAGTCCATCCTGTTTCATCCATACATACAGAATTCAAGAGCTCAATTAAACTCGATGGATTTTGAGACATTTGCTACTTGGGGTGATGTTTAATGCAGTATTAAAGTATATGGATATTTATGTTTACAATATTTAGATATTGACAGTCCAAAGAGGACAAGCGCTTTGGGACAACATGACGACAATTAATGAGGTTGGATCAATAGGAAAAACTAAAAAGCCATCCGGTAAATAACTTTGGTGATACTGTCAATTCTTGGTTATGTGTCAGGAAGAAATTTTGCCATTCTATAATTTTCACGTGTTCATCCTGTGTATACCGTTTTCTTATTAGATCAGAGATGAATTACAATGTTTTATTTATTTCATCTCTTCCCAGATAGTGCATTCAAGCAACAGCGATTACCAGCGTGGCAGCCGATCCTTACAGCTGGCACCGTTTTGCCAACCTTCTTTATAATTGGCATAGCATTTATCCCAGTTGGCATAGGATTATTATACTTTTCCGATGAAGTGAAGGAACACACTATAGATTACACAAATTGCGAGTCCATAAATAAGACTCGTGATACCGGTAAGAAGTGTGCCGAAGTCATCGTTGAGAATCCTGGTTTAGACTGTTATTGTAAAATAGATTTTACGTTGCCCATTGACTTTGCTGGAAAGGTGTACATGTATTATGGATTAACTAACTTTTATCAAAATCATCGGCGTTATGTTAAATCTCGTGATGATAATCAGCTTTTGGGAAAATTAAGCGAGATAGTCTCAAGTGATTGCGAGCCATTTGCGTACAGAGAACCAAACGATACAAAGATCCCAATAGTGCCTTGCGGTGCAATCGCCAATTCGCTTTTCAGTGATGTTCTTACATTATATTCGGTAAAACACGGCGAGTATGTATCGCTGCTTAACACAGGCATTGCTTGGCCATCTGATAAGAATATTAAATTTCGTAATCCGGAAGGTGATTTGGCAGAGGCATTTAAAAATTTTGAAAAGCCAAAGAATTGGAATAAACGCATCTATGAATTAGATCCCGATAACAATGAAAATAATGGCTTCCAAAACGAAGACTTAATAGTGTGGATGAGAACTGCTGCGTTGCCAACATTCAGAAAGCTTTATCGAAGAATCGATCATATGAAGGAGGGGTTTACCGATGGATTGCTTGCTGGAAACTACACTCTTCATGTTAATTATTGTAAGTCAAATTATACAGAAGTGAAGCTTTTTTACATGAATATCTTGTGATACAAATTACTGAATAGTGTTTTTTATTTTTTTTTTGTTATCTGAAGAACTATTCATTTCAGATAGGTGTGATATTTTTTATGTTAATTTCTTTCAGCTTATCCAGTATCTGCCTTCGAAGGGACAAAAAGAATGATTCTCAGTACCACGTCTCTCTTAGGTGGAAAGAATCCATTCCTTGGAATCGCCTACATAGTTGTAGGATGTGTTTGTTTAGTCTTGGGTATAGCACTGTTGGTTGTACATGTCAAATGTTCCAAGAGGTAAGGCTCTGGCACAAATATGGCTGTAATTTAATCTTATTTATTGAACAGTTTGTGTGTGTGTATTGTTTAACACATTGGAGAGTCATTATGTTTAGATTAACTGGCATTAACGACAAAATATTGACTCTGTTCGATGTCAAGTTATTGCAAGTTACACAAATTTTAAGGAGGTTGAAACTAGACCGATTAAGTGAAAGTTCTTCACAAAAGTTCTATCATATATTTCTTAAAAATCAATTCTATCATGTTTCAAACTATGCTTAATTCGATATGAAATTACTTCTTATAACTTCATAGAACTTCATACTGCAATTGCATCAAAATTGCACAATGGCATGACTTTTAAATTTTAGTATCTTTATGAGCTTTATGAAAACCATTATACCAAATTTTAAAATCATGTCAGAGTAATGGTCTTCAAATATCATTGGACATTTATTTTATACAATCACGTTGAATGGCGTGGAATGTCATATAGGTAATTAACATTGTATATTGTGTGTGTGCCTATGTTATACAGCAGACTAATATAAAGATGGAGTCCAGAAAGTATGGTTAGGCCTTCCTAATTGTTCTTGTAAGTGTTTGTTAAAGTGTACTATATCCACCCTGCTAAGATTCTTATTATCCAGTATTTCTTTCCTTGTATAGACAATCGGTATCAGTTGAGTTCAAATTATTTTGTGCTAAATTGTTTTGATATACATAATATTTTTATTTGACAGTAAGTTCTAGGTTTTGGACTTAACATACAATGAGGTAAAATATAACACAAAATGAACTGAACTCGACTCGGAATCCTGCTGATTATATATTATATATAAATCGAACGCTGTCAAGTGAATGAGTTTTAAGCAGTGGAGTCGGAGAAATTTTAACTTTATTATTAGTTTTGTTTTTATATCCTTTCTCTATTGAACATTTAGTATGTAAAATGCGTTATAACCATATATTCAAAATTAGAGGCATGATCGAGCACTCCATACTTTATCACACCTGTATTCATTTGAATGGCATTACATTCATGTTCATGTTCAAAAATTTTGTCCAAAAATGTTGTGCTTGCTCCCTATTTCCTCATGATTCATGTCATAACTCACTAAATTCATATTTTTAACAGCTTGAACATATTGCGCACTGTTACTTTCTGCTAGATTTTCCCTTATTCCTGTAGAAAGGTACCAAAGTAATTGTTATCGCAGTTATATAAAGACATGTATGTTACATCACAAATAATATATTTTGCTTCTAGTACAAACGAGATGATCAACGTATCATGCAATACGCCATACCAGTGAGCTGGAGCTACAGGTTCATCAAATGTCTATTTCGAACCAAGTGAACCTTCAGCGACTTTGGTTGTGCATTTAGAGAATAGATCGTAAAAGTATTTTACCAATATTGAAAGTTGTACAGTTACAAGCTGATACAGGTACTGTAATCGTACACTTTTGAGCACCTTTATCATGTATAATCACAAAGCAGTTTGTGCTAGTCTAACGAAGTAGGTACGATTTCTATGTGCAACTTCCACGTAGTTATGTCTCCTCGAGATAGCCTGAGAACTCGGCAATTTTATTCAACCATCAGCTTCTTATTATTACATTATTTACGGTGGAACGTTACTATTTGGAAGTTAACTCGAAAGTGTTCCATTCGGTAACGTCTGGCAAGCTGAATGCAATATAATTGCACACGATTTTCAGGTTAGCATTTGGAAGCCCAGCAATCATATACATAAAGTATTTTTTATAAACAAAACCACACAATACAGAATGTCTGCCCCCATCCGATACGTGATACAGCGATTACATATTTTCCAAGCAAAGTGTAATATAGAGCATCTGGGATGTCCGACCGTTATAAAATAAAATCTAATATTAAATAGGATATTAATACACTTTTACCTCTATTTGGAATATATATACACGTACTATTCAATATATGGTATTCAACAAAACGTTACTTTAAAGCTCTCACGAAGTAGAATTCAATTAAATACCTGTACATAATTCTACAACCTGCCACGAACCGTCCACACGAATGGGTTGGTTTCAACGAAGATCCGCCAGGTGGCGCCCGCGTCGCCAATAGCTAAACCCACGATACGATCGCTCGCAGCTATTCCGAAGTTAAAGCATCGGTAATGCAGGCGATAAAAGTAGATAAGCTAACCGACAGCGACTATTGGTACAAACTACGCAGTTAGCTTATCAAACACCTATGAAAACCTTAATATTCTATCTTTACCGTTAAATCCTTACCGCGAATTAGCAAATACCGAGGCTCATCAGCCCTGAGTACATACACATAGGCACACCTCACCCTCATCGCGCGTTCGACTTCCCTGCACATATACATCACACATACGGCATACATAACTACATACACATGCGTACACACCGTGAAACGTTCGAAATTCACGGCGCGATTAGATTGACTCTTCCAGGGCAAGGAATCAACGATTTACTAAGTAACGAATCTCCGTAGTTTCCCCCGGGATCATAGAAGATTCCGCGTAAGAGACGCCTCGGAGTACCCTGGCTAAGGCACGGGGCCCCTCGGCGGACGCGTCCGTCCGGTTCCTCCGGATTCCCGCCGCGGACGGGCCGCGTCGGTGATTTCTCGCCGGCCGGTTGGCAGGCCCGAGGCCTCGCGTCGGCTGTCAGCGGAGCCAGCCGAGGCGAGAGCGCGCTCGTATCTCCGAGCGGCGATTTCCTGAGGTCGCGATGCCGACGAACGGATCTGGAGGACAGAGGGAGGTTCGCGGCCGCGGGGACGCTCGTCCTGGCGGGTCGCGACCTGTCGGCGGCGACGCGACTCGTCGGTCGGGGCGGGCGGGCGGTCTGGGGCCGNCTTCTGGGATTTTATGGAGCCGTGCTAATGGCAGCCTTGACAAATACATGATGGCCGTTGTCCCCGAGCAGTGAAACGCGTACGCGGTACCTGGCGTGGACGCGAACCACCGTGAATCGGTCTCGGGGCAGTGAGTGCGAGCACTCGCGCGAGCGAGTCGAGTGTCGAGTGGCGCGGGCGATCGGTCGACCCGGACGGAGCGTCGACTCGCGGCCGCCGCGACGACGCCACCGAGTCGAGGAATCAGTGCGTGCGTGTTCCCCGCCACCGCCGCCGCCACCGCCACCGCCACCGCCACCACCACCACCGCAGCCGCCGCGGCGCCCGGGAGGGAGAGGAGCGGCGAAGTCGAGGTTCCGGGTGCGAACCGGTAACTCGTCGCCGTTGGCCGAGCCCGCCGCGCTGCCGAGGGCCGGGCCTGCCTGGAGCGCGCGCTCCCCGCGCCACTGGCGCGGCGCAGCCGACCGCGAGGGACCTTTTCTTTTGTTTACGCCTTGTCACTCGCGGGCGAGCGTGTCCGAGCCCGTCTACGGGGCGGGCGTGCGCTCGCGGCCCGAACCTCGGCCTCGGAGGACGGCCTATGCCAAGGACGCGCGGCGGACTCGGACGGACCCTCGCCTCGACGACTGCCCCTTTGGAGGAAGAGGGACGCTCCAGCGGTGCACGAGCTGTAACCTCAAACTGAATGTCCCGTTTTACCTATTCCAGGAGCGCTGCTAAGGAACCAGAGGAGACCCTGGCCACCTGGCGGAATGGATTCGCTAGGGGCTCTTTCGGAACGGCAGCTCCTACTCTGGCCGATCCTTCTTGGGGGGTAACCTCTGGGCCTGCGGAGACGGTATCTTCGTAGTGCACCTTCTCCCTGGATGGATGTCCTTCTCTTAGGTCGGTGCGAGAACTGCGACAGGGGGTGAGGGAATGATTATTTGGTCTGTTGGTTACTTTTTGGGCGAGAGACGGAGGTGGGGCGAAGCGGAGCGTGCTGGATTGGACTTGGGGGATGGTTCGATGTCGGTTTAGGCATGGGAAGGGTTTTCTTGTATTAAGGGGAGGTTCTTGGGTTATTGGTTAGTTGTGATTGATAGAATTCGAGTTTGGTTGTAGACTTTTGACTTAATCGTGACTTAACCCTAACTTCAGTGTTCTTTGAAAGGGATTTGAGGGGAATGTTTATGCTATGGGTTAGGGTTAGGATAAGGAATGCATTGATGTTTTGCATGGAGTTTTTAGGGGGGAGAATTAAGTTTGGGTTATGTGAGGGTTAGGATGAAAGCATATTTCAGGTATGAGGTGTGTTAGAATGGAGTCTTTGAAGGTAGATTTTTTATATGAAAAACTGGAAAAGATGCGTTAAGTTTTGAGATGCAACGTCGGTTAATGTTTTTTTTCTTACATTTTTCAGATTAAGGAATGCTGTTCCATATCCTCTAAATCAACATCACTGACTGAAACCTGCAATCCTGGATTGAACGGCGTAGATTTGCTCAACGTGAAGAACAGTCTGGTGCAATCGATGTTGACAATGCTTAGATGTCAAGTGACTGCTTGAATGTTTGAACAATGCCAGCCAATCGCTTTTCATTGCTGGACTTAGGATAAGTCAAGAATCTTTCAAAGTTTAAGCCGACGGATGTTAAATATTTATCATTATTGTAACACATTTACGGCACTTTTGGAAGTGCGAGGTTTATCGTATGAAATGGTCACACGTCCAAACGTCTAAATGGATGTGATTGCACAGCAAATGAATCTTGAAGAAAAATCCGAACACACACATAACACAGTGATACAGTTGTTCTTCAATGGGTAGTGTAATTTGTAAAGGGAGATGTTGAACAGATGTTGACAAATTTCTCACGCAAATATCAAAAGCCTAGGCTTCGATTCAACCTTACTTGGAACATTGACAAGAAGCGGAAGTGTACAGTGGATGTGGAAAATGTTTATCGAATTAAGTTATACGTGAACCACAAAGTTACATGCATGTCTGGAGAAGGCAACGTGGGACGAAGACGTGTTGAATGGCGCCGTAGCGCAAATACTGAAAATTTTCACCACTAATCAATCCCTTTCATCTCACGGGTGAGTGCAGTGATCGAATGACCTCATTTTCTGTTATTAATTTTACAGGTGCTTTACAAATTAATAACGTAACGGTTTAAATATTGCATGCATTGCCGCGTGTGTTAAACTGGTGTGTTGATATGAAATAATTAGTATTTATAGTTTATACTAATTTTGACAGTATTTTTGTATTAATGTAGAATTTAATATATTGTAGAGATAAATTGGAGGGCAAGATAGAAAGAGGGTGACAAGGTGGCTGGACGCTGCCTGGGGTTACGAGTGGCTGCGTGGGCATGCAGCAGCCTCAGACACGCCCTCTCCTCGGGGACTCAGTATCCTCTACAACTTCCCCGAATACACGTCGTAACAATCCTGTTGCCGTCCTTACCCATCAACAGGTGAATAATTTTTCAAGATTAAAATATTGGACTTAAAGTATTGGGAATATACGTGCTATAAAAACTGTGACATCGGTTGAATTATTCATCAATTGTACCATTGCTAGAAAGATGAATAAATGTTATGTATTTTTAATACAGTTACAGCAACTACAGCAACTACAGACTCATAGCTCAAATGGGCAGCCATTAACCTTCGCTCTGCAGCAGCCAACCAATAACGTCAGTAGTAAATTCAATTGTTTCGATAACTTTCTCCTTTATTTATTTCATAGATACAAGTTTCTTAAATGATGTTCAATGTACATGATTATTGTAACTTAGCAAATTACCATATCTTAATGACTTCGAGTTCTTAATTTGTACAATTGTCTAGAGACATTTAGTATTTCTTCGTTACTGGTTTTCCTTTTTTTTTTCCGGAGAAAGATGTGGAATTTAAAACTGATTTCCATGTATAATTTGATAAATTACATGATTGTTTCTCGAGAAGGTAGAAGTCCTCAGTATAACAATGTACAATTGTGATCGGTGAACCTCTTTTTCATGTAACAAATAACCTGACAAATTGTTGTGCCCTTCGCATTTGTTATATTATTAAACTCGCTTGGAATAGTTCTCTTAACACGCTTTACCATGTAACACTAGTATTCAATACTAAAATACGTATTTTCAGAGTTCCACGCATTATCACATGCTCTGCCTTGACGTAGTGAAACGAAATTAAAATTAGAGATAATATAAAATTGTGATTAATATTATTTTCACTATCGCGTGTCTGCCATCGTACGTATTTCGACTCTCGGTCACTTCTCCACCATCAAATCATTTTCTAACGACATTTAACAACGATTTGTATAATATTAATTAACATTGTTATGTGATCATTTGCAGTCTCAAGAGCAGGGAAATGGATCGGCAAGTGGGAATCACATCGTCTACTTGAATCAGCTGAACCAGTTGAATCAAAGTACCATTAATCACTCGGGGACTGGTATGGGCCTACCCCCGGCCACCCCCACTTTTGGGGTAGGCCTGAACATGGGACTGCCGCTATCGCTCTTGAACACAAACCTCACATCGCTTACATCCAATGCCATCACAACGTCGAATCCGCTGCTTAACCTTGGATTGCCTGGCATCAACACGGGCCTTACCGCGATCAATCCCAGCCTGAACCCTTTGAACAACATCAACTCGAATCTGAATTCTAGTTTACCTACGAACAGTATTAATACTGGTCTGTCGAACCTGGGTCAAGAACTGACCGGAGTCGGCTCAGCCATAAACAACTTAAACACCCTCAACTCCAGTAACATCGGTTCAGGAATCGCCGGGCTGAACACGGTTAACCAGAACCTGACGAGCCTCAACTCGTCGATGAATCAGAACCTTGCCACCCTGAGCGCGAATCTGAGCTCCACCAGTTCTGGCCTCTCCAACATCAACACCTTGAACTCCAATTTAACGTCCAGCGGCATCAATCCTGGGCTAAGCCAGGGACTCAACAGATCGTTGAACGCCCTCGCGACCGGACTTACGCCTAGCAGCGTGAACTCGAGCAGCGCAAACTTTTCCTTTCAAACTATACAGAGCATTCAGAGCATCGCGCCCCACATCGTCGGCTCCAGCATCGCCCACGTGTCGAGCTCGGGGGTGTCGCACCTGTCGAACTCCGGGGTCTCCTCGATCGCGCAGATCTCGAATCCTGGAGCGGTGTCGAACTCGGGCATCTTCACCAGCACAACCAGCGGTCCGATACTCTCGGCCACCACCGACTCCAGTCATACGTCCAACGTGATCCACTCGACGAAGGTAGCCCACTTCGGCACGATGCATTCGAACCTCTCGGCGAACATGCCGAGCTCCAACCCGGTCCAGCACATGTCGCTATCTGGCAACGATCCCACTTCCAACCTGGGCCACGTCTCGTCCATAAGCTCTTCCCACTCGACTGGGTTCCAGTCGCAGCGGACCTTCCCCCAAGGCTTGAACACCAGCCTGAACACCTCCGGTAGCCTAGCTGGCGCGAACCAGCAGACGAATGCTATCAGCACCAATATTAACACCGTCAAGTCCATACAGAGTATACAGAGTATACAGAGCCAGAATGCCAGCTCCCCGGGTAGTCCGTTCTCCGTGCCGCTCAAGAGCCCGGCGTCTAACGTCGCGCCGCCCACTCCGAGTCCCAGCCCTAACCGGCTGCTACTTAGAAGCCCTGCCTCCAATTCTATGCAGAACAGGAACAGTCCCAGTCCTGTGGCCACGTCTACGTGTAACGCTAACTTTGGCATGCAGCTACAAAGTCCCATGCAAAGTCCCATGAGCGTCGGGCCGATACAGAGCCCGGCACCCAGCCCGTACCCGCCCGCGAAGAGTCCTCATCATCTCGGTAACGGCAGTTCTTTGAACAGGAGTCCAGCTCCAGGAGGAAGTCCCGGTCCACCCGTGGTAAGGAGATAAAAATCCCGTCGTACGGGGCCGATTACAGTACATAGTTCTCCTACATTTACCAGCAATCGGTAGGGAGGACGCTCGTTTTACCATTGTCGACCTTATTTCAGGTAAGGCCCAACACCCCGATACTGCAACAGGGAATGCAGGTCCTGCAAATCATACACGGGACCCCGCAAAGTTACCAAACCGCGCCTACCCAGCTCGTCGCGAGGACGCATCTTGTGGGGAATCAGCAGATTCAGATTGCTGCCGCTAAGCCTGCTAAACAGCCGCCCCAGATTTTGCCGAAGCCACCGAACCAACAGGGTGGAAATACCCAACAGAAGCAACAACGGGTTGCCACGACGATTACGAGTCAAGTAAGCCTATCGATGATCGAGATAAGGAGTGCGTTCTTCTAGTATTTATTAGTAAGGTATTTGGGTTCTGTGGCGTAATATCTGTCCTAATTGTACTACGGTCTTAACGGTACATTGTTTCTCCACAGGTGTCCCAGCAGACGCAGCCTCAATTGGTACTCGCGGGGCCTCAACCGAATCCAACAACTGCTACGATGATACCAACTGCGCAGGGTCTCCTGCTAAATCAGGTTTCGACTCTTTAGTTTACTGGGTTGCTTTGCCTGCTGACACTCGCTCCTAATTTTTAATTAATCGTTCGGTAACGAGATGTTCATCTTAATTTACAAAAACCACTCGATACCTCTCCGGGGTAGTCGTTCTTTTGCGCATTTGATCCATTAGCGTTCATTCTCGCTGGGTATCCTTGTTAATTGGATTCTTGCGTGTATGTTAATTTCACTTTTATCCCCGAATATCGTTTCTTCATGTCCCCTGGCTTAGACGAGGTGTTGAGATACGCTTAATCGTTGCTGCTTCGGTTGAATGAGTTGCCTAACAGCAATCGCGACGGAAAGCATGTCAACGTTTGTTTATCGCTAATGGGTTGGACCACTATCATGCCAAGGAGTCGTGCGGCATCTTTCGAATTGAAAAGTTGGATGGAGAAACCTACGTCTACGTTTATCTCGAGTTAAGGGGATGTGAAAGTGGCATCCGAAAGGTCAATCGCTCATGATACTTTTCTACGTACTGGGTGCACCGAATCGTTTCGAACATTATAACGCGAACGTGGAGGCTATAAGGAAGATTTCGACGCTAATGGAATTTCATTTTTTATACCAGAGTTTGAAAGTGTCTATAAATAAATTAAAAGAAAGGAACGTTTAGGGGTGTCGGGATCTTCCTTACAGCCTCCATATCCATATTGTCAAGTTTGAAACGATTCGGTACACCCACTTCGGAGAAAAGTTTCATAAACGAGACCTCTCTGGCGCCAGTTTCACATCACCTTAACGTTAACTTCCTGTCTTGCCAGTCGATTTTGCCGAGTGCGAGGTATTCCTTTTTGTCCATCTCTTTAATGTTTACTCGCTTTTATAGTGTCCCTTTTCACACACTGTTATCTTTAAGCGCGTTAGCAACGATTCTTCAGGTCGTTGCGAGCATGGTACACGGCAGGGAATGACTCCGTCTTCCTCGAAGATGATGATACGTAGAGCTAGTATGAGTATGGGGAAAAGAGAGTAACCAAAGTGAGACACGGCTCGTTTACTTTAGATGTCTCGTATTGTGGCCCTTGGATATGAAATAGGTCGGGATTATCTATTATATATTTTTGGTTTGGGTTCTCGTGAAGGTTCTGCCCTCAACTGGTCCTGTAATCGTGCAGCAGCAACCCGGAGGTGTTCAGCTGATCCTCAGGACTCCAGCGAACACTCAACAACATACTGCACAGGTGATGGTCTCATCGGTGATACAAGAAGACCAGGTATGGCAATACCTAGGACGGATTTCAATCTATACCGCCCATTACGCGGTGCAAGTTGACTCATCGATTAAGCTCCCTTCTTTTTGTTTTTGTTATTTTTTTTTTCCTATTCTTTGTGTTCTTTACTTCTCTTGGACTGATGATAAATTGGCCACGGGTCTGTGCTCGTACATATGCACTTGGGGTTGGCAAAGTACCTGTCAAGGGTTATGTTAACTTGAATTCAAATGAATGTAACCGCGGTTATATTAACTTGAACCGTTGGTGTTGGTAGGTTATTAAGGCAATGCGAAAGTCGCGTCAAAGAGGTCTCGTTTATGAAACTTCTCCGGAGTGGGTGTACCGAATCGTTTCAAACTTTACAATGTGAATATGGAGGCCGTAGGGAAAGTCCTCGACATTTATGAAACTTCACTTTTTTGTAAAAAAAATTGTTTATTGGTATTTAAGGCGATGTGAAAGTGGCGTCGAAGAGGTTTTGTTTATAAGACTTTTCTCCCAACTCGGTTTACCGAATAGTTTGAAATTTAAGAACGTGAACAGGGAGACTATAAGGAAGGTCCTGAAACTCATGAGATTTCAATTCTTTTCAAATTTGTTTATAGGTATTTTAAAAATAGTTAATAAGAAATGAAATTTCGCGAGTTTCAGGACCTACCTTAGGGTCTCCGTATTTACGTTTTAAAGTATGAAACTATTTGAGATACCCAGTTCGTAGAATAGTTTTATGAACGATTGAGCTTTAGGATGCGACTTTCGAATCCCCTTAAGAAATTTCTTGTAAAAAATGAAATTTCATGAGTGGCAGGATCTTTTTCGGAGCTCTCGTATTCACGGTGTAAAGCTTGAAAGGATTCTGTACGCCCAGTACGGAGTAAAGCTTCATGAACGATTCTCAGATGATACTTTAGGGTCCCCTTAAAGTTGCCAACCTACGTAATATTCGTGCGTGCACAGTCGTGTCCTTGTACATTCAGGTCCCGACTTTTATTTAGAGTTCTCAGACGTCGATTGGTTTCCGAAAGTATATACGCCGTACCTGGTTCCCTTGTATTACCGTTTCATCCGTCCGCACTTTCATTGTTATCATCGCTTGATCGATTTACCAGCATCAAAATGTTCATAAACTGCATCGCAGCTCCGTTTCCGGATCACGGTTATCTTGTGGGATTTCCCTGTTTAATCTTCCATTTTCATTGGTCTCAAGAAATTTGTATACTATGTATTTTGGGTTATATATATATCTCATACGAAGGGTAGTGGGCCATTAGCGGGTTAAGAGCATGCGTTATTACTCACGTTACCGGCAAACTGTTTAAGGTAATAGTGCATTAGGGAATCTGGAATGTTCGCAATTGCGAACCGTATTCAGCGGCAGATATTGTTTTGGCTCTGATGGGAGGGTTTGCTTTGCGAATGTGTGACTCTGATACGATTTTAGGGCGTAAAGGCGGTGCTTACGTTGTTAATCAAATGCTCAGGACTATTTAAAGCTAAGACTGAGAGGAAAGGTTTACTATTTATGTCTAAAGGTGATTATGTAAGAATGATTTTTGTCTCCCTCTCACTGTGAGGTATTGCGAAAGTATGGGTTTTGTTGTGAGTACCGAGGACTCACCTTTTCTTCTTTTTTTTTTTCTGTGCGTTTTGTCATTCTTTGTAACATAGTGCGAGGAAAATGGAAGATAACGAAGACACTATGTCCTGGTTTTTATATCTCTCTTTTTTTTTTTCTTCTTTCGATGACTTTTTGATCAACAGTGATCTTGATAATATTCTTGGGACTGATGATTTCGATCAGTTGAAGTGAATTTATAGGTACTTAAAATCTAGCGAGATACGTGATGTCATTTATTTGGTAAGACACTAATTTGCTATTACAGCTGACTCAGCAACAACTGGTAAGGGTTGTAACAGCGCAAGGCATGCAACTTCAAGGCATCACGCCCGCTTTCTTTGCCGTTCCGAATGGTTTTCCTCCACCAGCACCACCAGTGATAAGGCATACACCCTCGAGTCCTGCACCATGTAAGTTAAGTCCAACCTGTTTATCGGTACGTCTTAAGGTGGCGCTAAAGTAGAGTCAAAGAGGTCTTGTTTACGAAACTTTTCGTCCGAATTGAGTTTACCGAATCGTTTCAAACTTCATTACGTAAATATGATGACTCCAAGGAAGATTCCGACATTTATGAAACTTCAATTTTTTCTTTTAAATTGGTTTATAGACATTTATAGATTTTTTATATATATATAAAAAAAAGAAATGAAGTTTCACGGTTGTCCGGAATCTTATAGCCTCCGTATTCACGTTGCAAAGTTGGAAACGATTCGGTAAACTCAATTCGGACGAAAGTTTCACGAACGATTCACCAGATGTCGCTTTCAGGACCTCTTAGCGAAGAATCTCGCGGAAAATGATTTTAACGTTTATCGTGGAATCCTGAACGAGGAATCAGTATTTTATATCGCCTTTGTCGTCCTTCTTTCAGCGAACACCGGCGCGGGGAACCCGATCGTGATACAGAATGCCATTGTGCAAAGTCCTCAGCCGCAAATGGCGCAGGTCAGTACGTCCACAGCGAGTGGTAATATAACGACGATGCAAACGACGACCGATCAGAGTCTGCTGCCACCGCCTAAGAAGAAGGCCAAGAAGAAGAAAAAGGCGAAAAAGAAGGACGAGGAACCGCCAAAGCTGGACCTCGCGAGCATCATGAAGATATCCGGCATCGGCGATGACGACGACATCTTCGATAACGACCTGTCGGCCGAGTCGGACGTGACGGCGCAAATTCACATCGACCAGAACGCGGGACACACGATGGGACAGCAATTGCCCACCCAGGTGGCCGCATCGAACCAACCAGGGCAGGGTCTGGTCCAGGTGCCGATCTCCAGTTCGTCCAGTCCGAATTTCTCGCCCTCGTCTAGTCAGCCTAGCCAGTTGGTCGCGCAATTGCAGATGCCGGTCCAGAACACGATCTCCGGCCACCTGAGGTTAGCCGTAGGCGAGGACGGAAGGGTCGTCCTCCATCACGCACCCGAACCGAATCAGCCCGAGATAGATCAAGCCACGGCGCAGGCGTTGATCCGCTCCTTGACTCAGGGCACTGGCCAGAATTCCCAGATCATCTCCCAGCTCCTAAGCCAAACCGTGTCGCACGTAGACCACAGTGTCCTCCAGAATCGGCAGAAACAAGCGAAACCATCCAAAGGTCCGACCGTAGGCCAAACTATGAACCCCGGTAGCAGTCAAAGCTCCTCGGCTGCTAGTCCCCAGCATTTACAGATGTGCGCCAATCTGGGGAGTTCGGCCAACGATGGCTTGAATGTCTCCCAGAATTCCAACCTGTCGTCTAACATGGTTGGTCAGGGAGGCGTAAACACCCTGCCCACGGGCAGTGTCCCGACTTCCATGGGTTCTGCTGGTCAGAATATCTGCCATACGTCGAAGACCGTGCAGGCGTCGATGCATAATCTTCAGGCTCAAACCGCAACCATCCAAATTTCTAGCGAGTCTATGAAATCGCCCCCGTCGAAGTACACCGTTCAGGCCAATCAACAGGCTGTTAATGTCCAGATCCAAAAGTCCGGCCAGCAATCTCGGTTGACGAACACCTGCGTGAACGCGAACGTCCGGCAGAATCTGAGCGGCAAGGGGGTGCAGCAGAACATTCAGGTACTTCAGAAGACCAGTCCAGGTGGCGTGCACACGCAGAGGAACGTCATCGTCGGGAAAAGTTCGCAGAACCCTCAGCAGGTGACCATTCAACAGGAAGCTGGCCAGCCGTTGCAGCAGAATTCTCTGTCGCATCAGGAGAACCTCCACCATCAAATGTCCGCTCAGGCGGTGCAGACGCAGAACGTTCAACACATGATGGAGCAAAACGTTGCCGTCAACATCCGGCAAAATGCGAGCAACGTGCCTCAGCAGAACTCGCTGAATGATTTTCATCATAGCACCGTGGAAGTACAGCATCAATCCAGTGGTAACGCGCAGCATCATACGATTAACGTGTTGCAGCAGAGCGTCGAACAAAATCTGCAGCTAGGTGGCGGCGAACAGTCGCATCAGACACAGGCTACCGGTATTCGGCATCAGGGTGGTGCGTGTCCCGGGTTGCAGAACTTGAATGTGCAGCAAAATATCAATCTACAGCAACAGAAGGTCGTCTTGTCCAACGTTTCGTCGTCGGTTAACGGGCAGCAGAGTGACTGTCAAACTCTGATGGGGGGTATCGAGCAACAGAGCAATGCGCATCACAACATGCAGCAGCAGAACATGCAGCAGAGTATACAGCAGCAGAATATACAACAGCAGAATATGCAGCAGCAGAATACGCAACAACAGAACATGCAGCAGCAGAACATACAGCAGCAGAACATTCAACAGCAGAACATTCAACAGCAGAATATGCAACAGCAGAACATACAGCAGCAGAATATTCAACAGCAAAACATGCAACAGCAGAACATGCAACAACAGAATATGCAACAACATAATATGCAGCAGCAGAATGTACAGCAACAGAACATCCTTATATCGAATGTACCCTGTTCGACCGGTGTGCAGCAGACCGAGTCGCAGAAAGCAGAATCGAACAACGCGAACGTACTTAATTCTACGGCCACGAACATTCTACACAACGCCCCGAAGATCACTCCGGAGATCCTCAACGCCCTCAGTAATCTGAATCCGAACGATCAGTTGCTGATTGCGAACGCGAACGGGCAAATGCAGGTGATAAGCCAGCAGCTGTTGCAGCAGTTCCTCGCCGGCCAGTTGAACGCCGTTCAACAGACTCAGAGCCATGGACAGACGCAGAAGATCGTCATCGGCGAGCCCGACGCGTCCAATCAGAATCTCCAGGGTGTGCAGATCAACACGCCGACGAGTCAGATCATAGTCAATAGTTCCGGAGGGGCGCCGACTATTCAGAACAATATACAGAATATTGTAGTTCAAGCGGCTCCGTCCCAAATGCCACACCAGATCCAGATACAAAACTCGAACTTCCCTAGTCAGTTCATCGACAGTCTCAATCAGCAGCAGATCAGGAACCTAGGAAACAGTCAGCAATCGCATCCCAATTCCGTACCAAAGAAGGCGAAGGTCGTCAAGAAAACCAAAGTGGCCATCACCTTAGCTCATGGAATTGCGAATTCACAGGTTAGTTTTATTATTTCCCGACAGTGGCGCCAAAGAGGTCTTGATGTTGATACTTTTCTCCTGGGGGTACCAAACCATTTCAAAATTTACAACGTGAATGTGGAGGCTGTAGGGAAGGTCCTGACACCCATGAAATTTCAATTCCTTTTAAAATTGGTTATGGATATTTAATGAAATTCTTAAAAATGAAATTTCATGGGTGTCGGGATGTCGCATCCAGTTAGGAGAAAAGTTTTATGGAGGATTGACCCTTCGGATGCCGCTTTTACATCCCCTTAATATGTATTGTTTTCTTTCTAGACTTTTTAATTAATATTGCTTTCTTTCTGGACTCGAAACTCGTAGTTGCGTGGATATTAATGTTCTTTTTGATGTCAGGTCGCCAAGACGTTTACTGTGGCCCGTCCAACGATGGTAACGACTACCGCAGCCACGTTACAGAAGACTGATACTTCGAGCAAGGGCGTCAATTTTGTGTCCCAGAGTACAACTCCCAGTAAGTGCGATACCACTCAAGGTGACGTGAACAGCTCGCTAACCTTGCCTTCTTCCGGTGGTCAAGCATCCTCGACAGTGCCGAATGGCCAGATGGTGCAGAGGGTGCAAACTATTCAACTGCCAGCTCAAAAGCAGCAGGTTTTGAAGAACATCCAAGCTCAGATACAATCCATACTTGCGCGGAAAACTAACACGCAAGCTGAACAAGCCATACTGTCGAAGTTGTATCAAGAACAGGCCCGAATCCTTGCGAGTGGAAAGATCGTTAGTAACTCGTCCCACCCGGTCAGCAGTGTGAGTATGTTTTGGCGTTTCAACGCAGGTTTAACGACTTATTAGTACTTAGGGAAAACACTCGGTACTTAACTCTTAACGCTCCAAGTGTGGCGCTCAAGCACCACCGATGTGCGGCGTTCTACTCCAAGTGTGCCTCTCAAGCACCACCTATCCGACCGACTTCCAAGTCGAAGTATGATGAGAATAAGTTGGAGTTGCCGGTTGATATTCACAATTAAAAGTCGGAGCGTTAAGGGTTAAAGCAATGGCTGCTTGTATTTATCTCATATATATTTCTAGGGAGCCGAAACAAATGTCAACGTCAATGTGGTGTCCACCATGATACCGAATTCCCAGGCGCAAAGCGTATGCAAGAGTCAAACTTCAACGGTCCAGACGCAGACTCAGACACAAGCCTCCTCCATGACGATGAACTCGCAGAGCAACAGTTCCTGTCCGACTGCTTCGGGCCAGAATCTAACGAGTAGCCCTAACAATGTTTACCTGAGCAATTTCGGGGTAAGTGCGGCGCCGTTAAGGGGGGCCGAAAGTCGCATCCGAGGAGTCAATCCTCCCTGACACTTTTCTCCTAATTGGGTGTACCGAGGCGTTTCAAACTTTACAACACGAATAAGGTAGACTCTAAGGAAAATCCCGAGACCCATGAAATTTCAACTTTAAGAATTTCTTTTTATTAAATGTCCATAAGCAATTTTAAAAGAAATTGAAATTTCATGGGTGTCAGGACCTTCCCTATAACCTCCGAACTTTATAACGCGATTGTGAAGGCTATAAGGAAGGTCCCGGGAATCATGAAATTGTATGTTTTGTAGAAGAAAGAAAGAAATGTTAAAATGTCTATGAACAAATTTAAAACGTTGAAATTTTATGGGTTTGAAACGATTCGGTATACCTAGTTTGAAGAAAAGTTTTACGGATGAGACCACTTTGACGTAATCTTAAAGCAATGTCAGAGTACAGAGAATGAGAGGTTGATTTTGTCGTCACGTTGTCGAGGATCTGACGATTGGTTTGGCAATTCTAGGCGCAGCAGTGCACCCAGAGTCAAGGCGTGTCGAGTGTTGCGCATCAAAATCTGCACCAGGCGCACAATAAGCAGCACAAGTACTACCAAAGCCACGCTAATCAGATACTCAGTCCGTCTTCGGCCAGCGGACAGTCGTTCTCCACGGCGAGTCTTTCGGCGACCACACTTGCACAGCAAAACGGCACCCAGGTCACGCAGTCGCACGGGCAACAGGTCGCCAACACGCAGCAGTCTACGCAATGCCAAACCGATCCTTTGGACGTGAAGCTGAACCTGCAAACCCCGAGCCCCATCAAGCTCGAAATGTCCTCGCCTGTCCAGTCGCAACCGCGAACCACCTCTCCTGCGGGACAAAGTACGGCTACTTCTCCTAGGATGATCAGCAAGGGGACGCAGCGGATTCAGAGTCCCGTCAACGTCGCTGGGAATCCTCCTAAGCAGATGCTCAGTCCTGGGAGTACTACGAGTCCGTTGGTCAGTCCGAGGCAAGGGGTCAAAAGGCCCGCGTCAAGTCCGATTTGCAGGCAAATCAATCGCGGTGACTTGTGAGTAACGTCGAAGTTAGGCGTTAGAAGAGTTGAGGTGATACGAAGCTGCCTTCCGATGCGTCGATACGTTTATTAAACTTTCCTACGAACTGGGCGCTCCGAATCGTTTGAAACTTCAAGTGGTTACGGAGGCCTTGAGGCACTTGTTATATTTTATATTTAAAAAGAAAACATTTTTTAATCTAGCCCACACTAGAACCAGGGACACATTCGTCATATTTTACGTATTTTGAAAGGTTAGAATCGAAAATGCAGAGTTTCACGTTCTGGGCATAACATTTTAGAATGCAATTGAAGGAAATTGTAGTTGCCGCTATACGATACAGAAGGCGCCACTGGCCCATTAGAGCATCAGAAATCATGAATCCAGGGGAGTTATCGAGTTTTGCTTTAATTTCTATATAATTAATCTACTAAAATTATGTATCGAGTATGCAATTTCGTATAATTCTCAAGGTAGAGTGCATTAGACGTAACCATAGCGTAAACATAAATGTCGGTAACGGCGCTTTATTTCAGATGGAATATCGGTTGCCATTTTTAACGACGTCCATGATATTTTTCGGCGGCTTTCATATCACCTTAACGAGATCGTTTAAGTGGTTAATGGTGGTGTGCGAGTCGGGAGTAATCGATTGCCTCGTTTTTAGGATGGAACAGCAACTGAAGATCGATCAAAGTGGTGCTCTAAACCCCGACGTAAACACACCGTTCTTGAGCAAGAGTGACGCCTGTAAACGCCTCGTAAGGTATCACTGCTTCAACGAACAGGTTTTGAGCACCAAGGATCTTGCCAAGGCGGACGAAATATTCGAGGAGACGGCCAAACACCTTCTGAGCAAATTCAACTCCATGATGAATAAATACACTTACCTTTTGCTAATGGAAAGCATGGTAAGGGGATCCATTACGGCACCTTTAACCTTTCTCGCGCCGTTCGATTACCTACGTTGGAGTATCCCTTCGTTACCGTGTAAGAGCTAAGAGTTAATAATGGTGTCTTTTGTCCGTTACTTTCAGCGCGAGGTACGAACATCCGAACTCATGATGATCGACCGAACATTCGTGGCCGAGGAGGAAAGCATCCTGAATCGGTTGCGGGAGCAAGAGGCCAAAGTCAGCGGTGAGTAGATGCAAAGGGGATCGAGATACGACGATGGTACACGGTAGAAAGTTTAATAAATCCCCGGGACATTTCAGAGGAGTTCAAGAAGGAGGAGAAGCCCCTGGTGCCAAAGGTCGAGCCCGGCGTGACAGAGGACGTGAAGTCGACGTCGCTGCTGGGCGGCATGTCGGTGAAGCGCGAGCTAGAGGACGACTTCCCGGGGGTGGAGGTCGACTCTAAGGTCTCGATTAAGCCGGCAAGCTGCACCAGCGGCGACTACGACGAGTGGCTGGAGATCCAGAAGGAACTCGGCGTGTACCCGGCCGCGATGGATTCGACCAAATGTCGAAACGGCAACGGTTCCGGCAGTGGTAGTGAGATGACCTCGAAGTCGTCTAAGGGCGAAAGAACGCGAGCAAACGGTGAATACCGGGGTGTTAACGTGAGCAGTAGTGGCGGTGAGAGTAGTAACGTTCCGGGAAGTGGCGAGTCCTGCGACGAGGTCCACTCGGCCGGCGTGGAGAAGCGCTGGAGCAGCGCGACCGACCTCGAGCGAGACCTCCTAGAGGACACCGACAGCCTGGACGGGCTGGCTCTCCACTCGCAGACCCAGTGCCCGACGTCGCTGCATCTCGTCAACGAGAACGAGGCCGAGAACGAGAACGAGCCCGACGATATCACGGCACAGGTGCAGTCCGCCATAGACAGTATTCTGAACCTGAAGAAGGGACCGGCGAACGCGTTGCCCAGCAGCAGCGGCGGCTCGTCCGCCCAGCCGGCCGAGTCCAAGGACCCGGTACTGGACCAGGCGGTGCGCAGCATCCTAGGCTCGTGACCCTCCTTCAACAAGGTCTGTTGAAGGGCTCTCGTTCGCTCGCCAGGACCCTTGGAAGAGGGCCGGATTATCGCTAAGGAATCCTGTTGCGCGAGTACCCACGGTGGTGCTCGCTCTCTTCCCTCCCGAGGAGGCGATTAACTTAAACGCGTCGAACACCTCGCAACGACCCTCCGGTCGTCAAGGGATGACTCGCGTTTACTACCTCACGATTGGCGACTACCTTACAGCGGGCCGCACCGGAATTCCCTTTTCTTCGTTTCTCGATTCTACGAATACTGTCTTCGTTGGCGTTCACGTTAACGGCCGGGCGACCTCCAGGACCTTCCCATCAGGGTGGTCCTGAATTTCCGTTGCTTGCTCAATCAAACGTAAGATGGAGGCCTCAACTTTTGGGGATGGACTCCGCAGAAGACACGTAAAGGGGGTTTCCTTTAAATTCGATTCGACGGGGTTGTTATTCCGCGCGATTAAACTCTTGTTAACGAGCGTTACCGTCAGCTAGTGGAGTACTGGATATTGTTGCACCTAGGCGTAATCCTATGTTTACTGGAAGCGTTTCTTAGACGTGGTTTTCTCGAAAGCTTTACGGAATTATGTTTTCTCGTTACCCTGATCATGAATTGTAACAGGTCTTCGCGAATTCAAACCTTGGTTTCCCCAGAGGATCCGCGATGTCAGATCTTTTGTAATCTCGATTGAGGATTCTTCGAAGAGCTGGAAATTTTTAAGCATAATTTATGTTGCTCATGATAATGGAGCAAATTCGGTGTTTTTTTTTGTTTTTTTTTTTCCATATTGGAAAGGAACTTGTTTTGGTTAGGGTGATACCGTGTATCTTCCGCTTCGAACGTGAATGGGGTTACGGACTTGTCATTATTTTACTAGCTGACGAGTCGTAAGGACATTGTTTCATCGCCTTAGAATATAGACTCTGTTGTACAGCGATCAAGCAGCTTTCGATATCTCAGACAGACAGTATTTGTTAGGAGTAATGTTTCGCCCTTCCGACTGCCGTCAACAAGATGCGAAACGATAGTAAATGCATTTTAAGTGTTTGACAAAATGTTTCTTGTAAATACGTCGTTCATTGTAGAGCAATCAATAATGTCGAATGAAATTTTGCGCCATATCGGGCCCGCGGTATTTTTTTCTTTCTTTTTTTTTTTTTCTTCTACCGGAAGGAAGTAGTTCATTATTCGCGTGATATTTATGTTTTTTTTTTTTATTCACCTCCTCGATCAAGAAATGGAGGAATGACGTTGATAACTCGAATCATGATCAATTGAGCTCTATTTCGCTCCCACGTTGAAGACGGATCTTTCGCGGCTTTCGTTTATCGAGAAATCATAGAAATTTGTGAACAGTGATTCCACGCGATGCGGAGTTTTTCCAATCGTCCTCGGTAATGTTTTCTCTCGCAATGGCAATAATTCTAATTATTTATACGATGAAATAAAAAAAATGAAATTGTACACTTTCCATTAGAGTAAGAAGCGTTTAAGCTACTCGCGTAATTATACTTTTAAGCAGCTGTACATGTGGTTAGGTAGCTAGGTAACTCGCTCAGTTATTTCAGTCTGCCAGTTTTGTAATGTAATTTTGTAAAAAGGAAAAAACTATTTAAAGTGACTTATTCCACTTTATCAGTAACACAACGTAAGCGTAAGGAATTTACGGATACTTAAGGATGGGTCGGTGAAATTGTACATATGTTTTAAAAGTATATATTATTGTCATTGTATATCACGCTCATCATTGTCATCTAATTTGTTCGTCGTCGTCGTTATTACTATCATCGTCGTCATGGAAGTCGTAACTATTTTCGCCATTAATATTATTAGCACCGTTCTCATTGTTATAATCATGATCTTAGAATCACTGTTATTACACCTGCTACTTTGCGTAATCACTAGTAGGGGTGTTGCGCATATCGGAAGTATGTTTAATACCTTTCAATTAGCCGTTTGAGTACGGCCAATGTGTAAATACGGTTCGAGATATGACTTTTGGAGCTTTTTCTTACGTTTCTGAGGGCCCATCAAAGGGATTTAACGACACATGATGACGAGTGTCCTGATACGACTGTATAAATGACCTTTTCGATAACATAAATTATGCGATGCTGCTGCTATATTATTCGGAATATTTATCCCATACCCTGGCATCATATCGAATCTCGTGAATGCTCTCGAAGGATGACAAAGGTAGCCGCAGATTTTTTAATCACGCCTCCTTATGAACTCTGCGTAACGAGGATAATGTACATATACATTTGCAGTGGCTAACACGGATATTTACACCGATTACTCTAATCATTTAAAAACTGCGATACCAGTAACGAGTGAAAGTTCCCCCTAGCGGGAAACTGTCACAATTAAAAGGACAGTCATGGAAATTGTTTACAATATAAATGTTATACCTGGGAACTGTGTAAGTTTCCAAAGTAGCATTATCAAAGAAAGTAACATTATTAAAAAAAAACTGCGATACCAGTAACAAGTGAAAGTTCCCCCTAGCGGGAAACTGTCACAATTAAAAGGACAATTTGGAAATTGTTTACAATATAAATGTTATACCTGGGAACCGTGTAAGTTTCCAAAGTAGCATTATTAAAGAAAGTAACATTATTAAAAAAAAACTGCGATACCAGTAACAAGTGAAAGTTCCCCCTAGCGGGAAACTGTCACAATTAAAAGGACAGTCTTGGAAATTGTTTACAATATAAATTGTTATACCTGGGAACCGTGTAAGTTTCCAAAGTAGCATTATTAAAGAAAGGCAGACGAACATATCATATAAGTTTCCCTCGAAGGATAGGATGTCAACCTCCGACAGCAAGACACGTTTCCTGAATTTCAACTGATAAGGGGTCCGCGTAATTGTTTCATTAGACGAGAAAAGGGAGGTTCAAACTGAGACTAAAATAGCATTAAGTAGATCTCTTGGATAATCTTCGAGGTGACGTTATAGATATCGATGCGCAACTTCTTTTTTTTTGGAAACGCAGGCTTCGCAGCTCCAAAAGTCTAACGCGTTTCCCGTTGTTAAGTTCCTACCGATCGACTTAGTTATCCGTACGAAAAGAAATGTCCCCGGTACACGATTAGATATCTCGAGGTAGATGGATTTTCGCTAAGGAATTCTCGAGAAATGGAGAAGCCTTCTCGGCCGATAAAGAAAGACAAAAGAATGCCGTGCAACACCCCTGCTATCGTTTTGGTTAAGGGAAGGCAAGGGTGAGTCTTTTACTCAAAACCCTTCCATAGCTTAAATGGGAAAAAAAAAGTAAACAAAAAAAAGTCGTACCCTCCGTTTCATCGTTAATATGACGTCTGGATAATCTAAAAAGAAGGGAAAAGAAAAGGCAACAACACAACGCGTGCGAATAATGTGCTAGTTTTCCGGCGTGCCAATAATGAGTATGTTAATAAAGTGTGTTTATTTTTCTAAATTCGAGTCGTTGTTCTCAAGGTACGTCCACGGTAATCATGTCGGAGCGTGGTAATAAGCTGGGAGGAAATGATGTTAGAGGAAGCTTTTGCATGTATACACGTAATAACGAAGTCACCCTCGTCGTCTCTTAACACGAGTATCCTTCCATTTGAATAACAGTCTCTGCGACGGAATTTTAACGTCTAGAAGTGGTCGACAAAAATCCTATTGTATACGCGAGATAGGGACGCGCATCCAAGCGGACCTTCAGGAATTGGTTAGCCGTGAAAAAGAGTTAATTAGGGTGCCCATCAAAGACGCATACGTTGAACAGTCAGCAAACACGTCGAAGAAACATTTAATGTGACTATATAATATATTTATGTACAATTAGGGACATAAGAGGAGTATCTGTTGCGCCACCCAATTCGTAACGTTGAATTTAATTTCGGCCATTTTCTCGTCGAGATTCAACGACCGTTTAAAAAGTAATTTGGAATTTTTTAAACCTTCAACTTGGCCCAAGAAAATTTAGCAACAATTCGGGAATGCCTCGGGACATTCCGCGGTTATTTATTCGGATTTTTATTCCGCACTATTCGGTGTGTTAAAAAAATTCTCTTCGTAGGAGAATGTTGTTGCAACTACTGCGGTGTTTGCGCGATTATGCCGAACATTTGCATTAAGTGTTTTACATGGCGGAATAAATGCTGTTACGTATTGACTGTATGCGATTTTGAGGGTGCGACCTGCCGTACTGTCGCCTTTTATCCGTGAATGCATTAAACGCTTTAATTTCGAGCCTTAAGGCGATGCGAAAGTGGCGTCGAAGAGTTGACGTAGCTTCTCTCAAAAAAGGGTGTACCGAATCGACTTGAAAATTCTGAAACTGGTTGCTGGAAACTTGTATCGTTAAAGCAAGGATAAAAATGATAAGAATTGTGTGCCGCGCCGGTTAAAAATTAGCGAGCCGACTAAGCAGGACGTGATTCACGTCAGCGGCAATCGGGAATAGAATTTAAAATGACGTGAATTAACGTCAGCGGCAACCAGGAATAGAACTTGAAACGACGTGAATTCACGTCAGCGGTCGCGAATGTGTTAATACGGAAGCCATAAGGAGGGTCGCGATCCCCATGAAATGTTGTCAGGGTCAGGAATTTCCTTATATCTTCCATATTCACATTGTGAAGTTAGAATTCGGCGGGGACCTACTTTCAAGAAAAGTTTCATAAACGATTGACTCCTCGGGTGCCACTTTGACGCCCCCTTAAGCCATTGACCCTTAGTTCGAATCTTTAATCGTTACGTCGGATATTTTTGTACCTCGTTGAGTGAAAATTACAATGCCGATGTACGACTGAGTGTTTTATATACCGGTAATGTGTAGACATTCCGAGCAGGGAAACGAGAATCAAACGGTGAAAACTGATTTTTAATCTATAAATCGAGAGGATCTTGGTGCGTCTACCGAGGGATATGTGTGTCCAGCTATTGTCGACTTGTATTAATGCATATGTACAGAGATAGGTCGAATGTAAAGAATCACGGAGGGAGGGGCTGTGCACGTTTTTCAGAGAGCAGCTCAATGAACCGAATAAGTGAGACCTTAGGATTAGGAAGTAGAGAACGAGGCAAAATAAATTTATAAAGTATCGTTTATTTATGTACACGTTTGATCGCGAATGCGGTAATACCGAGGCTCGTGACGTAGACGCGAGATTCCCGCGTTTCTCGATATATCCTCCGCTCGAGCATGACGATAACGACGCACAGGCATCGGCTTCTGTTCTTCGCACACGTACAAACGTCTTTGTACCGATTGTTTAACGAATTCGGATTAAGCGGTAGGCTCGACGACACGATTCTTTGTCCCCTCGTTGTCGGAGCAATGTAAGACTGAAAGTAATGGCGACTTTTATGTGCTCCGGTGGTTCTAGGTTCGGTTCTCGGTCGTCTCGCACTGTTGTTACAGTCACATTGTAAAGAATTGTCAAATATCGGGGTGAAACCTTGAATTGTAGAGATTGATTTGAAAGACGCAAAGAGTTTTAAAGCCCATGGTTACCGCGTCCTACTTTCTGTACCAATCATTCCATTTTAATTATTCATTTTCATTTGCAGCATTAAAGTTAATTTTAACGTTAACGTTGCCCGTGATTGCTATCTTGGTTTTATCTTTAAGTGCTTATTTGTTTCAATGTTTCGTTATTTTCTCGGGGGCCAGTTCAAGATGGCGCCGCATCGTTTTTTAAAAGTATCGGGTACCGTTCTCCTCCACGGCGGCGCTGGTGGCTGCTTCTAATCTCCAAGTACGCGCTGCGGAACTGTGGTTGTTCTCAACTTTTCAGTAGTTTGAGGCAGAAACTAGTAGGCATAGATGAGTTGGGAGATTGCTTATGGGCAGGGTTGGGTAAGTATAATACGTGTAGTAATTAAAAAAGTAATTACGTGGTTTTCTACGCAGGCACGAAGTATATTATCCCAAACTAAAAGGGCAAAGCGCATGCGCAATATCGTCAATAGCCAATGAGAGTCCACCTATTTGCCTTTAAGACAAATTCTCATTGGTTATTAAGGGGATTGCGCTTTACGCATCCACAAATCCGCGCACATTCGAAATCAGCCTTGGAAATTTGAAATGTATGCATATATGTGCATTTGACGTTTGTTTATAACGGCTGATAACGGCTATTTGAAGTCGTAAGATTCGTAGCCAATATTTGTATCAAAATGTATAAAGGTGGAAGACCAAGATGTAAATTATGGAATGAAACAAATGGACAAGATGGATGTTTATAATCTAGCGGATACCGCATGCTCTACGTCTGTCTTGTATTTGATACGTTTTCTACGGTAAACTACTTGATTTACGTAATAGACGTGAAAAACCTCGAAAATCGTGAAATTACCCAACCCTGCTTGGGCAGATCGAGAGGCATCGAGAGTTGATTACAGCGCCGCCACCTGTTGGTTAACGTACTATTTATGAAGCTTCGAATGTCCGTAGGAGGATCAAGGCTTCCGTGGAGCTTTTTGAATTCTTGGGAACTACTTGGGCGCGGCTTACTTTTCATAAATTCGTATCTTCCTTGCGAAAATTCGCAAAGGCTCGCTCGATGGCTCATTTTGAAGGCCACGAATGGATCTTTAAAGAGAAATTAATCGGGGGTCTGGCGAAAATTCACCGATCAGCTGTCCACGATACCAGGAAAAACAACGGTCGTCGTTAATTTTGCATTCACGGCGGAGCAGTCGGTTTGCGAATCCTTTCACGTTTATTTACAAATCTTCGATAATCATTAATGTATTCGGTAACAAAATTACATTGCACATATACAGAACCGCCGTTAGCGCTGTAGCGAAAAATCAATGATTACGAGTACGTCGCCGTGTAATAAAAACAACACTAATTCGATTGGATTCGATACAATGGCGCGGGTCGTATCGTTTATTCAGTCATGAAGTTCCGCGTGTAATGCAACCGCCTTTCCTTTAAGTATAGCCTTAACGTTACTTCTACGGGATAGAACCATAGACGTAGAATATACGTACCCTGAACACTTAAATCACTCCTTTAATATTCTTGCAGGCCGATTGCACCAACCGTGGTTAGGGTGAAATTTCTTAACTACGGCTAGTTAATCTTGAATTAGTGCTATTGATGTTGCGCTCACAAATCTTAATCTTCGTATAGTAACCATTTGATGTCGGGTTAACTCTAACCACGCGTTAAGTAATCCTCGATTAAGGATTTTAACTCGAATGTTGGTGCAACCGCTCCTGTGAATGCAAGATTAAGGGACGGTCCTTTTCCTCTTTCTTCCTTGTCGTTGGAAAATCCGTAGCCTTATTGTGCTACGCAACGGAATTCCATTTTGCAAAATCGGAGGGAAAGATAAAGCTTTTTACCCTCCTTTGTTTTTTGTCTCTCAATCTTCTGTAACAGTCGAATCGGCATTCGGGGTCCATGTATTCTATGTGTATGAATAGAACTCGAAAGAAATGAGAGTATCTCGTCGAACCACTCGGTGTGGGGCTAACTTCAACTGGATCGAACGTTTCGGTACGCAGTCACGCATCTCGTTGACAACGCTTGCATATCAGAGCGCAGAATTACCTTTTTACGTGTACGCATCGCACACGACAGGGCGTGGCAAAACCCGTGCTCACCCATTGTTATCCTAGTTGAAAACAGAGTCGAAAAGTACTGTACAACATTTCCCTACGACGCATAGTTTACGCGTAATAATTAATTGTTAAGTTAGACGCGTCGATCAGCCGCGCTCCGTGTGACATCCGCCGCGCTCAGTGAGACTCCTTCGTTGCGGCGCGCTCTTAGATTCGCGTATCGCCGATCGACGCGGCTTTTCAATTAATTATTACAGGCTAACCGTAGACCGTAGGAAGAAAATGTTAGGGGACTTTTCCATTCCATTTTTAACAAAGAACTGGAAAACCGTGAGCACGAATTATGTTACAGCGTGGCTCTCTATAATTATTTCGGAAAGTCGGCAAAACTGTCTTAAGAGTCGCCTAAACTGCGCTTGCCGTAAAAACTATCTTCAACCCCTTACAACAATCTTAACGAATCCTAGAATTGAACTGAATTTTATTCTCCGCTCGATCGGTACGATCTAGAGAAGTGGACTGACCGTGAATTATGTCACTTGGTTCGTTTCTAGCTTTTCGACCTAATCTTTCGCCTGGTTAAAACCCCTTTTATTAGGGATTGCCTTTAAAGACGTGCGAAAAACTAGCCACGGCCATGCTTTAAGGGCTCGTGGGATCTTAGAAATTAGTCTTTCAAGCTCTGACGTGGTTTAATACGCTTTGGACGTATTTAATGCGCGCTTAATTAGAGTCTAGAACCCAGAGACTGCGTCTGCATCTCTAAGTTCCAACGAGAGTCGTGACTTAAGTCCTCCCTTCGTCGAGCGGAACTGTAAAAATGAACAATGGTAAACTAGGTACATAGATATATCACAATAAGGCGCGAACTCACGACGAATCCCTCGTTTTCGTGCATCGATTAAAACTAGTAACGAACAGTCCTTTCTTAACACATTCGCGACCGCTGACGTGAATTCACGTCATTTTAAATTCTATTCCTGGTTGCTGCTGACGTGAATTCACGTCATTTTAAATTCTATCCCTGGTTGCCGCTGACGTGAATTCACGTCATTTTAAATTCTATTCCTGATTGCCGCTGACGTGAATTCACGCCCATGACGATACACGACACAGGTTTGCGGCAACCCGTTTCAGAATGTCATTATTTTGCGCCGGTACTCGGTATTTGAAACGGGGGAAAAAGAGATTTGCCGATAGCGAATGTGTTAACTTTCCGTGGAAAAGCGAGGACTCGCTGCAGGCGAAGTCGCGAAATTCAGAATTTCGGAAGAAGTCGGAATGTCAACGTGTGGAGGAGTCTTAACGCCGCTGCCTAGTTTCGCTTTAAACGAGACCCTAGGTCAACACTTAACTTGATGTCTTTCTTTTTAGGTAAAGAAATATTCCGGGAGGCGGGGAATATACCACGAGGAGAATTCCCGAGTCTTCTAGAGCCAAGCGACTTGTACCCGGAGACATCTACGAGTTTTACAAGACGTGGCGATGGATTAACCAGAGCCTTACCGGGAAAGAATTTAGCAGTTACACTGGTACAGATATTAACAATCAGTAGAGGAAAGTAACGACATTACCGGCGATTAGATCGACAAGAGCAAAGGTAACTGCACGTTCACGCTTAAACGTTTCGCGTCTCTAGTCGAGCTGTTTAATATGTTATTAACTATTCACTGAGTTTCCACTAGACGGTGTTCAGAAGACCTTATTGACATCTCGCAAGAAACGTCCGTTGGATCATCGAAACCACGTAAACGACGTCGTGAGTTAGCGACCCAACTTTTATAATGCAACATCGTGCGCAGATCAAACCCAACATCGACGGTACAAATATGCGCTAATAGGCTTGGAAAACAATCCGTAATCGAGAGTATAGTTCCTCTTTTTTTGTCTTACCTAAAAATTTAAATAACTCTCGCCCCCATGTAACTTCAACACTGAATTATTCTAAGTTCACTGCCTGCCACGTGTACGTGTATATTTATACATTATAGCCAACTCGTGAGTACGGGGTCACCCAAAGTACGTGTATACGTCTTTATAAAATTGTAATGCAGTACAAAGCGATCGGATGTCATAGTCGTATTCCCAATTTCCTAGACACGAGCGACACTCTACTTTTCAAACCGAGTCCTGCCGAATTCACTCGATACTCTACTTTTCAAACCAAGTCCTGTCAAACAGGACTCCTTTTTTCCTTTTTCGAGGATTTCTCTCGACTCGAAAAGTCAACTTTCCCGACTTGGAAGTCCTTTTCGTACCACTGGACGAATGGACTGGAATTACCGAATCGTAAGTCGCTTCGATATATTTTTTCCTCCAAGATTATTAAGGTGTTGCGAAAGGGTCACTTCATACATAAAACGTTATAATATTTACAAAACTTTTCTCCATATTGGATGCACCGAGTTATTTGAAACTTCAGCACCTTATGGAGGGCTTAAGGAAGAACGCGATAGAAATTTCATTTTTTCCAAAAAATTTGTTTACTTATCCCAGACGCGAACCGGTCACATATTCTTTTTTAAAAAATGAAATTTCATCAGCATAGTGCTCTTCCTTAGGACCTCCATAATCACGTGCTGAAGTTTTTGAATTATTCGTTGCACCCAGTTTAGAGAGAAATTTTATAAATATTTTGATGTCTCGTATATATAGAATGACCCCTTCATACAGCCTTAAGGGGAGTCATTATCCAAATTGATATCAATTTTCGTTTTAGCGGTCCAGGACGACTTCCTTGCCGAGGTATCGGTCGCTTCCGGATTGTTTGGGTGCCCCGTGCTCCAGAAATGTAATTTGTTAAAAACTTTCAGTGTTTCTCAGCAGTTTCTCGTAGGCCCGAACACTTACTTACAAGTATACTTAGGCATGTGTACAGTGTAGTAGGGTCGATAATGGCAGCGCAGGTATTCGTATGTGCCTTGCGCCGGAAACGTGTCTTGTATCGGTACGTTTTCTTTATAGTATCGAGGCTATTCAGGCCGGACGTTGGTTCCCGTACGGTTTTACGATTTACGAAGTACTTAATCGAGGGACTACGGGTCTTCCGAAAGTCGGGGGACGCCGAAGTCCGGTGTATATAAAATTCGGGTACACCGCGGAGAGCAAAACTAAACGAGACCCTCGTTAACATCGCCGATACACTTTAACGCGTAGTATAAACTATACAAATGAGCGCTCTCGAAATCCGGGGGGAAAAACGAAACACCTTGGACGGTATGACATTAATGCGTCAAATCATTCAACGAAAGACATCCACGGTAACGTTCGGTCTCGGAATCCAAACCGCTGGCGACTCCTTCAGGGAAAATCCTGTCCGTCAATCAAGGAGACCTGGAGGTGTCCTCGATGGAAGAAAAGTCTTCAGGAGTCTTCGACGGATGGAACAAGCAACGACGACTTGTCATCTCGTTCATCGATTTACCCAGGACCTTGATCTCGAAGACCGTATCCTTCTTCTTCTGGCTCCTCCATTTAGTGTCCCTTCTTTCAACCTGCTCATCCAACTTGACTTCTTCCAGACGCTGCGCTCCATGGAATCTGCCATTAGTATTCGTACTCCAAATTCCGCACGGACCTGGAAGCCGAGAAATGGTTTCCTCTCGACATTGTCCAAGTTATAACGACATCTAGAAGCAAGGAAATGAAATTCCGAGGAGTCAGTTGGATGTATTCTCGCCCTCGGCGAGAGTTTAGTTTTAGTTTAGAAGACCCGGCTTTGGGAAGCGTTTGTAAAGCTTCGGCACGGATAGGCGGACTTTTCGACAGTGGCGATTAATTGTAATAACTAAATCCGTACATATGTCGAATGAAGTACTGGAGATTGATGGTTACTTGAGCCGCTGGGTCACGTTTGCCAAGGCTACGGCGAAGGCTTGCAAGGCGCTGAAAGGGTATTGAAAGTCCAGCGTGTAGGCATTGCCGTCGATTCTCCCAAACTGCATCACCTGTTGAGAAATAATCCTGTCAATTAGCCCTGCAAAGTAGGTACTCATGGAAAGTCGCTCTCCACGCCGTCTTATTGGAAATAAACTGGGTTTAAGGGATCACGAAACCTGCCTAAACATTCTGGACTTTTCCCTAACCCGGCTTGTGTAAGACTAAAAAACAATGGCACGACACGTAAATTATACGTGACATGCTTTAATAAAAATAACGTAAGTAGTACCGTTGTTACTTAAATATTATTGCTATCATATCCAAAGAATTACCCCGCGAAACATTTGATATTTCGACCCGACACCTGAAATTCCTTTTTAGAACAATATTTTTAAATTTCTATACACACATTTTCAAAGGATTGAAATCTCATGGACGTCAGGACCTTCCCTAGGGCCTCCCTGCGTATTTGGCAAAGTTTGAAACGATTCGGCGCACCCAGTTTGGAGGAAAGTTTCATAAACGAGACCTCTCCGATGGCGCTTTAACATCACCTTAAGGATTATCTGGATTTACGGCAGATAGTCCTACACGCACCGAGTTAAGGAAATGAGCTTTCGCAAGGATTCCGGAAGAGAAGGCGTTACCTGCTTGCCCCGGAACTCGATCTGGAAGTTCTTTGCGCTTTCCTGCGTGACTCTTCCCCCAAAGTCTAGTTGATACACTTGACTGGACTCGTTCCACATAGGAGCTTTGTTATGCATCACCAGTTCCCTCCTAGTTACCTCCGTTTTGTGCGCCGATAAATTTGCACCCCTTTGCTTCAACTGCAATTTCAATTAAATATTAATAACTGCCCTTACATCGAAAGAAAAAGAACAAGGAAAGAAAGTAAATGTCACAGAACCAGAGAAAAAAGTATTCCTTCAAATAATACCAGAGAAGTATTTTGAAAATTCAAAGAATTCACTCGAAATCGAATAATTTGCATAAATCGTTTCTTCGGAATTGCGACAACTTATGATTATTCTTTGAATTCAAAATATATCAAATATATCTGTGGTACCCCTAGTAGCATAATATAGTTCTATTATATTTTCTATATATTTAACGAATATCGTACATTTTGTAAATATTTAACAGACATATCCGATAACAATCCTAAAGTAAATAATGTATTTTTGTTATACTTTACAAATTAAAAATATAATTTCGATAAATGTTTCTAAATAATTAAAACTAAACGTGTCATTGAGATGTTCACCAAATATTTTAGATATCTTCGAATGAAATCTACGAGACATCTTAAAAAATCTGTCGCTTGAGATATTTAGCAAAGATTAGAAAAAATATTTAGAAATTATTCTGTGCTACTAGAGACAATTCAAAGAAATATGTATATATATATTTTTTTTCACAGTGTGGGGGTTGGGAACGACAATGTTTCACTTAAGTCAGACCTTTTGGCGAAGCTGTGCTTTCTGGAATGTCTCTAAGTTGCGATAACTTCGCGATGACTCGTCCTGGACGAGACCCTCGTCGTCGGAGCTTTCGCCTCTGTTCTTCCTCGCTCTTCTGCTCAACAAAGGACTCGACAATAGTCTCCTTCTGATAGGAGACGCCGAGGCGGGTCTTTTACCCTTTTTCGACGGTGCCGGGCTGCTCGGTGAACTTCTGGGTAGCCTGAAAGACCAGCTTATGCAAGAATACTAGGATATAACGCTGCCTACAATTTCTTGATTACAGGTGGAAGTCTTCGACAAGGGCGAACCTCATACCTGGAACACGGGCGAGGAGATGGCGGAGGTAAAGAATGGCTGTCGTCGAAATCTCGAAGTCTTGCGGCAAGTCCATCGAGGGAAGAGGCCAAGGAACCAGTGGGGCTGGATCCTCTGGAAACGACAATAACTTTTCAACCTTTTTTCAATAGAAAATTCACATCCTACCGCGACGAAGTTCACTCTCAACATCCCTTCAATATTCCTAGCCATTGGTAGATAAAGAGTTAAGATATACAGCGAAAAAGAAAAAAAAATAGAATAGCCAAGAAAAACACAATTGTGATAATGGTAACCACGTTGCAAGACAATATGTGAAATAACCTTGCCAGGAAATTGTGGCAACCACGGTGACATAGGAAAGGAACAAAGTAATGGCTACTTCATCGTTTAGTCAAGGCAAGTACAAGATACTAGTTGTAGCATTACGTGTATTGCAACTTCATTGCATAGTTAATATTACCATTCGACCTGATCCGTCTCATCATTTGGGTGGTTGGTATTACAACGATATTTTAGATCTATTGATGCAGCAATTGTGGGAAAATAATTTTCTTCCGTGTATTTGGACGTGGTTCAGGATCTCACCTGGTCGTGGAGGCACACGCTTCCAGTCTGTTCAGCTTCTTGTCCGCCGCCTCTTCGGCTTCTGGCAGGCCCTTCTCCAGCTTCTCCTCGACCTGGGTGGCCAGATCCCTTTCCACCTTGGTCGGTTCTTCCGGCATGGCCTCGAGGTTCCCAGTAGTCGTCTCTTCCAGGTGCTCCGGAAGTTGAGGAGGCAGAGCGATCTGCTCGGTGCTGGGGAAGATATCGCTGGAGTCGAGGCTCCTTGATTTCCCGCAGTTCTTCAGCCTAGGCTTCGCGCTTTGCTGCCCGATCTCGTGCTGGGTCTTGTTCTTCTTCCTCCTGCGCGTCTTCCTCGAGACGAGCACCAGCCTTTTGTTGGGGGCCTCCTTGATCAGCATCTTCAACGCCACGTCGCAGGGCACCATCTGAGCATCGACAAGGTCCAAGTACCCAACGCTGCAGCTTCTGACAATCGTGTCATCCACACACAGAGGCCCGATGCTCATGACGGTGTGTGTTCGATGAACAATTCTAGGCTGCACCGTGCCCTCCGTGCTCCTGATCTCCTCGTCGATGAACCTCAGCTCCTCCGACTTCCCCGACTTACCACAGCACCCAGCCTTGCCCTCCTTGAGCTTACCTTGACCAGAATGTGAGATCTGCCCCGACTGACAAGAGCCCGAGTTCCCCGGGAACGGATAGGAACACGTAGGAGACCCAGAACCCTTGGGGAACGGGGGCGCCTGACTCATCAAAGAACCCGCCCCTTGGTTTACAGTATTCTTAGGATGTACATTAATCGTTCCACCTTGCAGAATGGAGCCCTGGTTGCCGTTCAGCACGCTGTTGGAACACCCCATGCTGTTGAGGCCGTTCATGTACACGGTCTGAGGTTGCGAGCAAGTGCCTGGACTGTTCAAGCCGTTCATCATGGGGTTCTGGGTGCACGCTCGAGAGTTCAAGCCTCCCCCTGGAGACATCTGTCCGTTCTGCATGGACGTGGGGATGATGTTGGTCGGACAGGGCCCCAGGCAGCTCTTCTCCTCTGAGATCTGGTTGATCTTGTTGTTCTCCAGCTCCTTCTTCATCGCCATGCTCGTCTGCTGGTCCGCCAGCGCGTTCTTCACCCTCTGGATGTTCCCGGAGTAGTCGGTGCTGGGGTTAGACGTGGCTATCAGCGTTTGCGTGGGTGCCACTGCGTTCTTTGGAGACTGCAATGCCGGGACGTCGCAGCATCTCGGGGCGTTGTGTCGTGGTGGGGTTCGGTATGTGTTGGCGGACGTGGTGCGCAGGTTCTCGCAGAAGTTCACCATGTCTTGGAGGTCGACGTACGGGAACTCGTCCTCGTAGCTCTCCGCGCGAGCCAGGGCTGGAGGATGAGGCTCCGTTGGCAGGAATTGATTCGACACCTGGGATTTCGGCCTGGTGGAGTTCAGTCGGGTGTTCCTCGGGGTCATCGGGGCGATCGGGGGCGCCTGGGCCTCTGGAGTGCTTCGAGAGGTGCCCTGAGGTTCCTGGTACGCTTCCTCCTCGTCCTCCGAGAAGAGATTCGGGTTAAACGTAGGGTCTGGACCTGATACACGGAAATTGTCGTGAAATTGGGGAATATAGAGAACATCTTTTCACTTCTTGGGAGGGGAATTACCCGCTGGTAGGTCATCCCGTAACTCGGTCATCACCAACGTCATCTGCCTAGGCTGCAGGTGCAACAGCGAGGTCCTGTACGTGACTTGGCCCAAATTCGCCGGAACCGAGTCTGCCAGACCGTGGATTTTGAACTTCGTGCCCCAGATGTTCGATGTGACCTCCACCAGCCTCGCGTGCTGGGAAAGGAATCGCCTTAGTAAGATGGCGGCGTTAAGGTGATATGGTTGCGGCATATGGAGGCCCTAAGAAAGGTCTTGAAACCCGTAAAATTCTAATTTTTATAAATATGTAATTGTTTATAAAAAAAACATTAAAAAATTACGTTTTTAGAGTGCCAAGACCTTCCTTGGGGCGTCCATATTCACGTGGTAAAATTTCAAACGATTCGGTACACTCCGTTGGGAGAAAAGTTTTGTAAACGAGACGGCTCGGATGTCTCTTTCGGCCCCCCTTAATTCCTGGGTTCTAGATTGTATTGGATTGACCAAAGAACCCGCGACAACTTATGCTAATTAGAATTGAATTTGAAAACGGCGACGACATCGTTGCAGGATCTTCCGATCTTACGGATTGCTTCAAGTTTCTCGTCACCTCTGGGAGCGTGTCCACGTAGGCGAGGTCGTCGTTTTCCTCGGTCGGTTTCTCCTCCTTCCTTCTCCTGTTTTTCCTGCGATTCCTCGGGGAGCCACACAACTCGGCGTTGTCTCTTTCGGTGTCGGAGCCATCGCTGTACGAAGGACACTGCGTCGCGTAATCGGGAACCTGAAGAGTGTTCTGACTCTGCGGATCGAAGATGACGAACTCCGGCCGTATCTTGCTGGTTCTTCGGCCCTTCAAAAGAGGCACTAGACCACCCAGGTACTCTAAGTACAAGGTGTAACAAGGGGCCGGTTCCCCAGCATGCCTCAGCATCGTGCAGTGCAACCTTCCTCCACCTGGAGGAGGCCTGGACACGAATCGCCGCAGTTCTCGCGGTTCAGGGACGCAGCATCTATGGAAAACCGACTCAAGGTGTGACCTTGCATCGTGCAAATCGAGAGCATCCACGTCCTTATCTTGTCTTTGACGAACCTAATTGTACTGGCGAAAAGTGCAGCGACCAAGGCCCTTAATCTGGGAGGCAGAGGTAGCTGCTGCACGCTGTACTCCCTACTGAGAGCCGCCCTGACGGCTAATCTTGACAACAGTTGAAGGGATCCCACTCTCCTGCAAGATAGACATTGGTTAAAGATCCACTAATCGTTAAATATATTTTCTAGGACACTGTCTACCTCGAGACCCAAGCCGCATGAACACGAGCACCGGTGGCCACGAAGAGGCGTCTGTCGTTGTGGCCCCACGTCAGCGCAGAAACTGGACACTGGAAGGGACAATTAAATGTAATAATAATCGAGGATGAATTCCTGCATACATCTTAAATTTATCTCGCCGAGAAACCTGAATAAATTGTTAAGGTGAAGCGAAACACGTCGAGGAACTTGATCAACGTCGATAAAGATTTTTCTAAATGCCTACGTTGCCGACGTTCGTTTTTATATTGACAGCTGGGTGAATTGTATTGGGTATTGTACCAAATGGCATACTCCACGTGTCGTTTCCGTACAATAATTATAAAGAAATCGAAGTAAAACTCCAGAAATCCTCTAGATTCATGCTTTCTGGGGCCCTCATTGACCGCAGAGGGACCCCCTGCGCCATCTGTGATTTCCAGGTCAATTAAATTTTCACTCCGAGACCTCGTATTACCATCGTTTTAGCATAGAAGCGCATACAACACTTTTTTGGCCTTCTTTATGAAACTTCTCCGAACTGAGCGTACCGAATCCTTTCAAACTTCACAGCGTGATTATTAAGGCCACAAAGAAAGTCCTGTCGCGCATGAAATTTCGATTTGTACAAAATTTCACTATAGGTGTTTAATAGAATGTTGTATAACAATTGAAATTTCATCGGTGTTAGGACCTTCCTTATAGCCTCTACATTTACGTTGTAATGTTTGAAACTAATCGGCACACCCAGTTTAGAAAAAAAAGAAAAAAAACAGTGACGATTGGTCTCATGGGTACCACTTTTACATCCCCTTATTACACTTAATGTACGTATGTATTAGAGTTAATTTATCCTCGTTGAAGTGCTATTTGGTACTGTAACTTCAACGTGATAAGTTCCATCCTAATTAACAGGGGCTGTGCGAACCTGCGTATACGGAATGACCGTGGTGTAGACCAGGGTTCCGGTATCCGAGTAGAATTTCAACAAATTGGTGTATTCCGGGGTGCTCGGTTGCACGATGTCACCTTCCTTGGTGCCAGCTATGGCCAGGAGCTTCCTCGAGTTGCTCCATTCGGCGTGCAGGGGGGCTCTCAGATTGGTTCGTATCGTAATGGGCGACACGTCGTCAAAGGAGCGCAGCATCACGATGTTCCCGTCAGCCAGGCAAACAGCCAGGACGTAACTTCGTTCGTCTGTCAATTGGAAATGATTACGATCACGTTAGATAGCTATCAAGCGGAACAGAATCCCATGGAACGCGTTGGTTGCATAAGGATATGTTTGCCCATTTGATATGCCGTATAAATCGTCTGAAAAATATTCCCAAAATAAGTATCAACGAGACGTGAAAGTGGCATCCGTGAGATCAATCGTTTATGAAACTTTCCTCCGAACTGGGTGCACCGAGTCCTTTTAAACCATACAATATGAATACACAGGCTATAAGGAAGGTCCTGACCCCCGTGAAATTTAAGTTGGTAGAAATAACGTCGAAAATATCTACGATGATATTGAAGAAAAATTCAAATTTCTAGAGAAAAATTGTTAAAACGTTTATAAACGGATTTTTAGAAAATTTGGATTCCATGAGTGCTTTCCTTATAGTCTCTATAAACCCAGTGTAAAGCTAAAAGAACGATTCGGTGCACCCAGCTCGGAGAAATGTTTCATAAATGAGATCCATGCTCATTTCACATTGCCTTAATTAGAGGATTACACACATAAAGGATATGTTTGCCCATCTGATATGCCGTATGAATCGTCTGAAAAATATTCCAAAAATAAGTATCAACGAGACGTGAAAGTGGCATCCGTGAGATCAATCGTTTATGAAACTTTCCTCCGAACTGGGTGCGCCGAGTCCTTTCAAACTATACAATATGAATACATAGACTATAAGGGACGTCCTGACCCCCCGTGAAATTTAAGTTTGTAGAAATAACGTCGAAAATATCTACGATGATATTGAAGAAAAATTAAAATTTATAGAGAAAAATTGTTAAAACGTTTATAAACGGATTTTCAGAAAATTTGGATTCCATGGGTGCCTTCCTTATAGTCTCTATATTCCTAGTGTAAAGCTTGAAACAATACGTTCCTAAAGCTAGCAGCTTTGTGAAATTTAAGTTTGTACAAATAATGTCGAAAATATCTACGAAGATATTAAAGAAAAATTCAAATTTCTAGACAACTTTTGGTTAAAACGTTTATAAACGGATTTTCAGAAAATTTGGATTCCATGGGTGCCTTCCTTATAGTCTCTATAAACCCAGTGTAAAGCTTGAAACGATTCGGTGCTCCCAACTCGGAGAAACGTTTCATAAACGTGATCCACACCCCCTTCATATCGCCTTAATTAAAGGATTAGATACATTTACCCGGATTAAATGAGGAGATATGTCCGTTTGTTCGTTTCTCGCTCTGGAAAATTTGAAATTTACTCTTTTCGGAAAGAGTATTTTGATTTTTCTCCTTTTTTTTTCGTTATGTATGAGAGGCCGCGCCATCTTTCACTTCTCGAATTTCTGCAATTTAGCTCGTCCGTCTTTCTGGTTGTATGAAAACCTGATGGCTCTCCTGGCACGTCGCGCGATTGCCATCAAATTACTGTACCCTACTTTCCTGAATGCATTACCCGGCACTGGCACCTGCTCGCGACAAAACACGAGATCTTTACCTTGCTGCAATTGATTTCCACCGACGTCATCGTCCCCTTCCTCCATCTTGAATTTTTCCGCGCTCCAAGCCATGGAGGTGACACCAGCAGCCAGCTGGATCTCCGAAACCATCGCCCCATGGACATCCATCACTATCAGCTGACCAGCGGTCGTTCCGAAATACACCTGTTGGCACGGCGAGATAACATTTCCGCCTTTCGGATATCTCCTCGTTTCCCGACCGAGAGGCAAACAGAGATTTCAAACTTCCGTTTCACCTTACTTTATTCGAGGGGCTATTTGCTCGGAGATCAGTTAGGACAATTTATTTGTTTTAGAACCGATTGCCATTGATTTTATGCGATGAACAACAATGCGATTTCCGAAGGGGCTATTTACTCGAAGATCAGTTAGGACAATTTCTTTGTTTTAGAACCGATTGCCATTGATTTTATGCGATGAAGAACAATGCGATTTCCGAAGGGGCTATTTGTTCGGAGATCAGTTAGGACAATTTCTTTGTTTTAGAACCGATTGCCATTGATTTTATGCGATGAACAACAATGCGATTTCCGAAGGAGCTATTTGTTCGGAGATCAGTCAGGACAATTCCATTATTTTAGAACCGATTGCCATTGATTTTATGCGATGAACAACAATGCGATTTCCGAAGGGGCTATTTACTCGAAGATCAGTTAGGACAATTTCATTGTTTTAGAACCGATTGCCATTGATTTTATGCGATGAACAACAATACGATTTCCAAAGGGGTTATTTGTTCGGAGATCAGTTAGGACAATTTCTTTGTTTTAGAACCGACTGCCATTGATTTTATGTGATGAACAACAATACGATTCCCGAAGAGGCTATTTGCTCGGAGATCAGTTAGGACAATTTCTTTGTTTTAGAACCGATTGCCATTAATTTTATGCGATGAACAACAATGCGATTTCCGAAGGAGATATTTACTCGAAGATCAGTTAGGACAATTTCTTTGTTTTAGAACCGATTTTCATTGAGTTTATGCAATGAACAACAATGCGATTCGATAATGAGGGACGATCGGGTTCAAATCGTGACGATATTTCGGCGATTTCCAACGATTTTTCGTAATTTCTGCTTGCGATTTGGAGCATTAAAATCAATGACTTCGCGAGCGAATTACTCCTGGACTTTATCTTATATTTATCGAGAAATTTGTGTTCCTTTGATACCTGCTGGTCGTCCGGTGTCCAGATGCCGCAGGTTATCGTCGCCTGATCGTTCAACATCGACGACCAATATCTCTGCCCTGCAACGCTCCCGACCAACACGAAACCGTCCTACAACGAAGAAAATTGTTTGATAACAATCTTACAGAGTTATCCCTAGTAGCACAAATATTTGTCCTATATTTTCTATATATCTAACGAATATCGTACATTTTGTAAATATTTACCAGACATTTGAAATAATTGAAAAACGTTTACTTTAGAATATTACCACTATAATATTCATATAATATTACCTCCATGTGTTTTCATAATATTTTTCTACCAGATATACAAAACATTTCGTTTCAATTTAATACAAGTATTTTTTTCAAATATTATCTGCCGAATACATTATAAACGTTTTAAAAACATTTAAAATCAAATTCACACGTTTTGCTCCCATAATGAAGTAGCGGAACGAAAATATTAGAAAAATTTCTCGTGTTTTTTTATACCAAATGAGGTGTCCTATAATAGTCGTGAAATAAAAAATGTATTCTTATTACGTTAATAAGTTAAAAAACATTTCCCTATATGTTTATACATTATTGAAACTAAATATGCCATTGAGATTTTCACGAAATATTTCAGATATCTTCGGATGAAATCTACAAGAAATGTTAAGAAATCTGTCGTTTGAGATATTTAGCAGAGATTACGAAGAAATATGTAGAAATTATTCTATGCTACTAGGGTATCAGTGAAGGAGGATTCCTGACAATGGAGGACAAGTGTCGATGGAAAGCAAAGAGATATCATAGCGGGGTAAAAGTGCTTCGCAATTATGAAGATTAATAGCGACGTTGGTGTTTCGCCAGTGGGAAGAAAATTCATTATAACTTTCTTGTCTCTCTTCGGTTCTCCGTTTCGTCGCATTTAATTAGTTTCCGCGAGCAAGCGGACATCGTTTCTTTTTACGTTTCGTTCCTTTCGGTCTCTCGCTTCGTGCTCTGAATCGAGTAACGCTCAAATATCGCGCGTGAATTAATTACCGATAGATCTTTCACAGTGGATTATTGACAATTCGTTTAACAGAAGGCGGGATATCGCTTTCAATGTAAAAGACCCGACATCGAGTGTTAATTAATATCTATCTCGTAGGCATCCAAATTCTGCACAATTACTTCTAAGTATTTTTAGTCATCTAAGTTGCATCAAGCATCGACCTCGTGATTCGAATAGTCAGTTAACACATTCGCGACCAGTGACGTGAATTCACGTCTTTTCAAGTTCCATTCCTGGTTGCCGCTGACGTGAATTCACATCGTCTTAAATTCTATTCCTGATTGTCGCTGACGTGAATTCACGTCGTCTTAAATTCTATTCCTGGTTGCCGCTGACGTGAATTCACGTCGTCTTAAATTCTATTCCTGATTGTCGCTAACGTGAATTCATGTCGTCTTAAATTCTATTCCTGATTGTCGCTGACGTGAATTCACGTCGTCTTAAATTCTATTCCTGATTGCCGTTGACGTGAATTCACGTCGTCTTAAATTCTATCCCTGATAGCCGCTGACGTGAATCACGTCCATAACGATACACGATACAAGTTTGCGGCAACCAGTTTCCGAATTTCATTATTTTCGTCGGTACTCAGTATTTGAAACGGAAAAAATTTGCCGGTCGCGCATGTGTTAAATGCTTTGACTTAAAGTAGTACAAAGAGACACAACATCCGGACACTTCCCTAGTAGCATAGAATAATTTCTAAATATTTCTTTGTAATCTTTGCTAAATATCTCAAGCGACAGATCTTTTAAGATTTCTTGTAGATTTCATTCGAAGATATCTGAAATATTTCTTGAAAATCTCAATGACATATTTAGTTTCAATAGTTTATACACATATACAGAAATTATATTTTTTAATTTATGACCATGTAATAAAAAATACATTTTTTTACTTCGCGACTATCATCGGACACATCATTTGATATAAAAAAAACACGAGAAATTTGTCTAATATTTTCGTTCCGCTATTTCGTCATGGAAGCAAAATGTGTGATTTTGATTGTAAGTATTTTAAAAATGTTTATAATGTATTCGGCGGATAATATTTAGAAAACACTTGCATTAAAATGAAACGAAATGTTTCGTATGTCTGGTAGAAAAATATTATGAAAACACGTGGAGCTAAGATTATATAAATATTATGCGGATAATATTCTAAAGTAAACGTTTTGCAAATATTTCAAACGTCTGGTAAATATTTACAAAGTGTACGATACTCGTTAAATACATAGAAAATATAAGACAAATATTTTGTGCTACTAGGGTTTATTGGTGAAATGGTGCGTGGGGCATATTTAAGGAAGCTTCGACTAAAACAAAACGGTTACCTTTTTTCTCGTAAGTATTTTAATAAAAGTGACAATAATTCTTTTCCAGGAAACATATTTGATCCCTCTTATCCTATCTGCAGCTAAATAACACGTTCTTTTGACATATGCGCACATACTACGACATTAGTTTATGTGCCCATGGCCAGAGGGCTTTGGTCGCTTCAAAACGTCACGCAATTTTGTAGGATATCAGCTATCCAGTTAGTATATAGATCAGTCCTGTCAATGCATGATAAAATACGAGCTGCTAGCAGTCGATACCTACATAGTCACAGGTTAAATGCGTAAAAACTCGACAGAGTCTTGCGCCAAGTAACGCAATGAAAAATAATTATTCGTGCTTGTTCGATCCAATTTCTTTATTTAAACTCTCTAAATCTTTGTTTAAACTAGATTTTAGTCCAATTTAAACGAGCTCAGATGTTTACAAGGAATTATAGGAAAGGGTAAAAAAAATAAGATGCAGGAATGGACTTGAAGCAATCATGGAATATTTTTAATTGTGCAGTTGAAGCTCCACAGCCATCTACTGAATTTCTTGCCGAACGTGAGATACGCCACATTTTTATGAATATGACAGTAGCCTCTTATTGGAGGAACAGCTGTCAGGGATATGATGAAAAATCGTCGTACGCGCATAGCTGTGCGCTGGTGACGTCATCTGCTCGACCAATATGGCGACCGCGGCGTCAAATTGACAGACCGGAATGACACGAAAGCGAGGTGACGATAACCGAGGAGGTACATCCGCGAAGATGAAGAAATAAAAAATCGCGCCAATAGAACCACCCACTGAACACCAAACCTAACAGTTACGTAACTTAAAACTAACACATAACATAACGTTTGTTACAATATAATTACCTAACAGTTACGTAACATAGAGCTAACTAGTTACATGACATTTGTTACAATGCAGTAACTTAACAGTTATGTAACATGGAACAAACAGGTTACATAACATTTGTTACTACCATATCAATATAAACGTAGCGTAACTTTGTTACTCTTATCTTACATTATGTTACTGTCCTAATATTACTGTGTATATGCAGCATATATTTGTAACAAAACAGAACTACATCGGTGCTAACTGTCATCTATTTTATTACATCATCGTCATTGTCATAATTCATCGTCAAATGTCATGAGATTAATATATGTCATATTATGTTTATTACTCGTATGAAAAAATGTGATTTTAATTCGTACGCGCATATACATTATCAGTAATTGTATGCTAGTCGCATGAAACCATAATAGTCTTTAAGTAAAATCAGACAGTTTATCATTACATAATTTCATTGAAAGTCTGATCTGTCATTTAATATCTAACTATTGTCAAGTACCAAAAAGTAATTAAAAATAAAAAGTTATATAATTTTCGATAAAATTACGTGATTTTTTAAATTAAATGTATGAAAAATTAACATTATTTTAAGGTAACTGAAATTATAACATTAATATAACATGTTACCTTACTGACAACTTACCTTGCTGACCATACTGTCAGAAACCTCAATTCTCAAGTATTCAATTGAACCTTGCTTCATGTTTAAGGTCCTCTCTCCACCTAACCTTAGGAATACAAACGTGTTTTATGCAAATTATTAGCAAACGTTGTAATATTAAATTGTGCAAATTGAAGAACCCACTTTTCATAAATGTAATTATAATCTTAACTCATATTTCTAGTACACTTCCCAATTAGTTTTGCTGCCTTCTTTTCTAATGAGTTTAATGTTCCAGTACCTTGAAGTACTATTTTTCAAGCCTCACTTGTATAATTTGGAATATCCATTCCATTCTTATATTTTTCAAACTCCGAGTCAATTGAAACGTTCCAAGGACTTTGAGGTTTTAACGAAAGTAATGAACTTGGTTCTTGGTGAACTACATGAGACTGAAATTTCTGTCGGCAAACTACACGATCAAATGAACACAGGGTTTAGAGATGCAACTGAGGTCGATAATCTCGCTTCGGACTGCAAATGTCGAATGGTTCAATTAATCCTCAGATCGTGTACGAAACGAATTACAACCCCTTCATGAATCTGGGCAAAGGGAGGTCACCTACCTGTGAGGTGTACAGAACGACACAGCGTTTGATTAATTAGGGCTTTATTTAACAAAATGATCTACGGCGGGTTTTGTCCTCGTGGGCCAACTAGAGACTGTCTCCTTCCGTGCGTCGTCGCTCGATGGCACACCGATCGCCATCTTAAATTTGAACGACTTACATAGCTGATAAAGGGTCTTCTTTCCGGTGTCACGTTCCTAAAGTGATATAGGACGAAGCCGCGTGGATTCTTTCCCATTCTGGTCCAATGAGCGCAAATTCTTCTTGCCGAAGATTTTTACAGTACAGTTTTACAGTGTGGTCCCTATCGACCTGGGAGCTCGCCTTACCATTAGTTGTATGGCCGGTTAGATCATCCGAGGGTGAATAATCACGCGATATCTTGTCTTACAGTTCTCTGCACAAGTAACTTAGGTACCTAAGACATCCCTCGATAACTAGGCAATGGTTAAGGCGAACGGCATCTGCAACGATCGTGACCAAACGGATGAATCGTTGGCCCTAAAGTGATATAGGACGAAGCCGCGTGGATTCAATCCCATTCTGGTCCAATGAGCGCAAATTCTTCTTGCCGAAGATTTTTACAGTGTGGTTGTGGTCCCTATCGATCTGGGAGCTCGCCTTACCATTAGTTGTGTGGCTGGTTAGATCATCGGAGGGTGAATAATCACGCGATATCTTGTCTTACAGTTCTCTGCACACGTAACTTAGGTACCTAAGACATCCCTCGATAACTAGGAAATGGTCAATTTGAATGGCATCTGCAACGATCGTGACCAAATGGATGAATCGTTGGCCCTAAAGTGATATAGGACGAAGCCGCGTGGATTCTTTCCCATTCTGGTCCAATGAGCGCAAATTCTTCTTGCCGAAGATTTTTACAGTCTGGTTGTGGTCCTTATCGATCTTGGAGCTCGCTTTACCATTAGTTGTGTGGCTGGATACATCATCGGAAGATGAATAATCACGCGATATCTTGTCTTACAGTTCTCTGCACACTTAACTTAGGTACCTACGACATCCCTCGATAACTAGGCAATGGTTAAGGCGAACGGCATCTGCAACGATCGTGACCAAACGGATGAATCGTTGGCCCTAAAGTGATATAGGATGAAGCCGCGTGGATTCATTCCCATTCTGGTCCAATCAGTGCAAATTCTTGTTGCCGAAGATCTTTACAGTCTGGTTGTGGTCCTTATCGATCTTGGAGCTCGCTTTACCATTAGTTGTGTGGCTGGATACATCATCGGAAGATGAATAATCACGCGATATCTTGTCTTACAGTTCTCTGCACACTTAACTTAGGTACCTACGACATCCCTCGATAACTAAGCAATGGTCAAAACGAGCGGCATCTGCAACGATCGTGACCAAACAGATGAATCGTTGGTCGCTACTTTGGCGTCCTGCGCAGCCAAGACCACACCACCCTCTACCTCTGGGTCCGGCATCTGACGCCTCTTTAGGGTCAACTCCAATTGTTCAGGTGAGGTTCAGTGGGCATGGCACTCCCGTTCCTGGAGAAGCTCAGACTTTCCCTGGTGTCCCTTGCAGATGATTCTATCGGTATTCCGCCCGGCGCACCGGGTGTTCCGCATCTGCTTCTTCTTCGGCAATGTTCGCACAATGTTCCCCGGCGGAACGGGCTGGTGACACTTATGCTATTCCGAGTAGGCGTCACACGAAGGTACAATAAATGAATGCTAATAGGGCACTGCGGTGTTTTGGAACCTTGGGCAGCATTTGTTCTCCTTCCCCATACGTGTCTCCGTTGTTGCTTCTCTAGCACTCAATATGTATCCCAAACTATTGTCCCCTTTCGTTCTAGCCTGTTTCCTCGCCCCGCCTCCCCTCCACTTGCCCCTACTCGATCTACCTCTCTCTATCTTTTTCTCTCTCTCTGCTCCCTTCAATCTTTTTGGGGTCCTTAGAAGACCTCCCTACCATACAGAGCCCCAATAGTAGTCTTCTGGGACGGGCCATCGCTTGTCAGCTTCTTGAAATTGCGAGTCGCTTTGCGACGTTCATCCAGAAAATAATGTCAATTCAGCGCACGGACAGACCTATCGGCACTGATATAAGACCCTAGTAACACATAATAATTTATAAATATTTGTTGTATTCTTTGTTAAATATCTCGAGCGACAGATCTTTTAAGACGTATCGTAGATTTAGATTAGGGCCCAAGGGCTGCAGGGAAGTGAAAAATGGAGGGACATTTTTCAGGCCGTGAATCCTTGGGGTCACGTTATGCGTGAAGGCAATAACATCGCGTTATTATTTAACGGGGTAAGTTCTCTCTGGTTCGCCAAGGACGGCTTTCTCTGACGAAAGAGAGAAACTGTAAAACGTGCAGAAAATTCCATTCGCGTAGCGTCACCGAGACAATTTTACGATTCGAAGCTAAGGATTTTAAGTCACTTTAGTCCTTGCTTGTGAAACGTTGCTGCCAGGAATGATAACATCATGTATAACAGATGTGGTCTGCATAATAGGATAATAGGAGGATTGGAATCGTGAATCATATCAATTATTGACGATTCTACGACGCTAAGGATTTCAGGTCACTTTAGTCCTTACTTATGAAACGTTGCTGGCAGGAATGATAGCATAGAGTAAAGCAAAGTGAAACACATCGAGGAACTTAATCGACGACGAAAAAGAAAATTTTTCTAAATACCTACATTGCCGACATTCGTTTTTATATTGATGGCTCTGTCGAATTATATTGGGTATTGTACCAAATGGCATATTCCACCTGTCGTTTTCGTACAATAAATATCAAGAAATCGAAGTAAAACTCCTGTAATCCTCTGGATTCATGCTTTCTGGGGCCCTAATTGACTGCAGAGGGGACCCCCTGCGCCATCTGTGATTTTCAGGTCAATTAAATTTTCACTCCGAGACCTCGTATGCCCATCGTTTTGGCATAGACGCGCATAAAGCACTTTTTTTGCCTTCATCATGTTCAAATTCGAGTTTCTCGAGTATCAGAGTGTTTTAAATTGTTGCACAACTGTCCTGACACTTTCGTTTCTCATATCAGAGCCTTCAATAATTGTATATTGATCGAAATATGAGAGCTCCACGCCATTTTGGTTCTAGTCTGGGCTAAGTTAAACAGTTTCGTTGAAAAATCCAAATTTTGAATGTGTCAGGACAATTCTTAGATGATCACGAGTCATGCGTCAAAGTTTCGGACAGTTTGGTCCAGTACCCTTAAAAAAGAGTGTTGTATTCGAATCGACTGATTTGAAGGGGGTTTCACTTCACCTTAAAATCCATGATTTCCTGAATGAATACCCCTCGGTCGAAAGACTGACTGGGCTTACGAAAAAGCTCTGCGGCAGTGCAACGTGGATGAACACCCACACTCTTAGACTTACGTCCGTACACCCTGACGGCGACAACTAATTTATGTCCTTCGACAATGCTCTCCCGTCGAGTCAGCGTACCTATTAGTTGGAAGAGACTAAATCACGTCGCCGAAATATACGTAAAATTGTCGGGAACTTCTAAATCGCTTCGCTAAGAAATTTTGGAACGTTTCCGAGAACGTTTCAAACGTTTTTAATGGTAAAACTTTGTTCTTAATGCACATGTCGAAGAGCATTCCTTTTATACGTTTGTCAGCTGGGAATTTGAACATTGTTACAAATGGTTTTTGTTCAAGTCATCGTCACTAAAAGCATTGATAACTTCTGTATCTCGAAACTCACTTAACGTATGCTCAAAGATTTGTATTCGTTGTCGGGAACGTTTAAGTATGCCGAATGACTACGAATCAAATATCATTTTTATTAGGAATATTTGTATCTGCTAATGAACTTATTCATGGTATTTTGTCAGTCGGGAGTTAATCAAGTCAATGTATTCGTGTATATACAGAAGTAAGTATGTACATATACATCATTATCGATCAAATTTGAATAAATTTCTCCACCACGAAAAAACGCTAGTAAACCTTACGAAGGAACTATTTTATTTTATTTTATCCAATATTGATATCGTTATAGTAATTTTGTTGTAGATATTTGTTGAAATGGGACTAAAAAGGAAAACAAACGTTGATAGCAATGATATTATGTGCATCACATAAAGAAAAGAGCCATAGCATTTGAACGCGAGAAATCAAGATGTATTTTTAAATCGTTATGTTTCTTAAGATGTTGGTAACAGAGATTTTAATGTTTAAAGATAAAATAAACTAGTGACGTGATGTACTGAGATTGAAAAAGTTCACTTAAGGAATAACAGAAAACATTTTCATTTAACATCAATGAGATAAAGTGTGACAGGAAGCAAGGGGAATTAAACCTTAATATTATAGCATACATCATACAACATTACAGCAACATAGGTAAATTAACTAGAATAAGATCTGTTACGATGCGTAGATTTGTATTGTTCATTCTTCGCAAAATTTTTACAAAATCATACACAATTGTCCCGACAATGGTCTTTAATGGTTGT